GAAAATATCTCCCAAATCTTAATACACAATGGTTCAGCATTTTTCAACCCTCTTTTGCCAACTTTTGAAAAGAAATTTAAGAGAGCAGTATTCAAAGAAGCACAAGGGGTTTAAAAGTTATGTAAGAGTTTATTTTTAACATTATTTTTAACATTCAGCATCTCTTCATTCTAATCTCTGAGGGTGTGTGTGTATATATATATATAACACAAGGTTGTTAAAGGGCATTATTAAAATAAGTTATGGCTTATTTTGCATACTTTCATATCAGAAATATGCCAAACAGTGGTGTCTATTTGAAAATCCATGTATTTGTTCAGAATACATTTCACCACTTAACTGTTCTCAAAGTCAATTCCCCATCATCAGTTTTTCACCTTGATTGGGTTGGGCAGAAAATGACTGAAACCTCATTTATTATTGGTTCTCCCTAATATCAATATCAGTACACCCACACTCTTGCTGAGCTGATGGACAGCACAGAGGTCCAATAGGACTGCACTCTCATTTCCTCCTAAGTTGTTCCCTGTGACTATTCTATTGGGCAAATAAAGGAACCACATGAAGACACCCAATTTGCAAAATCTTTTCCTAAGAATGCCCTGTGTGTCAGTAGAAGGTAAGGTTTTTGCAGGACAGATGTACAATGTGAGTCATGTACTACATACCCCTACTCCTACTGAAGTTCATTAAAATACACTGCAGGCCTGCTTTTGCTGTTTCTTCCCTATGCTTCCAATGGAATAGATGAGTGATGCCAACCAAGTGGCCATTGCAAAGGTTCCAATCCAAATTTCTTGTGTAGTATAGTACAGATCTGGTACTATACTGCGCATAGTCCAGTTCACAAGTGTATACTGTGGCATGTTAGGTCCTGGAAATACAACTATATGGAGGAGCTCTGTGTGGAAAACAATAAATATTACTCCCCACACCAATGTAGAAATGTTCACTCTACCAACACAAACTGCAAACCAGGCAAGGAAGTATGATAAAGTATGAAATAAATTATTGCAACTATGTGGGGACAGCGGCGGAGGAAGCCCCTCAGGCACCTGGGGCGGCATGTCCAGGGGTGGGGCGAAGGCGGGGCGAGTCGCCCATAGGGGCAGGGCACACCACGGGGCCTCCGAAGTCTGCCTGCCTCCTCCCACTCAGCCGCCCTACAACTGGGGGGGAGGCAGCGGGCGGACCATTTGGGCAGCGCAGAGCCTGCGAGTGCCCAAGCTACCGCGTCTCTCCCAGAAGAGACGGGTGGCTTGGGCGCGCTGCAGGCCCCGCGGTGAGTGCCGCCTGTCATTTGGTCACCCCCCTCAGTGGTGACACCCAGGGCGGCCCGCACCCACCACACACTCCCTTCCTCCGCCCCTGCGAGGGGAATTAGTGTCATTGCATATGGAGGCTTTCCATGTGTAGCTGACCCCATGTTGTTGTGTTTTTATGCCATCGTTTACCTATATGGATTAAGCCTTAGAAAGGGACTCTATTGGTCAGCCAAGGCAATTGTTGCCTTGCTGGCCACAGAGAATAAGAAACAAAAAATAGACCCCTCCTTGCATATGACTATGCAAGTTTTAATTTGTGCTGGATAGTTCATGATCAGACTGAAATACTGAAAAGTAGGTCATTCTCAACTATAGAGAAAACAATTAGCATCTGGTTAGAGATGCACGTTTTGTCCTCGTTGTTTCTGACAGCTAATGCCCTGTTTACAATTTTATGTTGACCTGTATAAGCTATTGTAAAGACACAAGAGTTAATAATCTCTGATCAATTCAATTGATAGTAGTAGTAGTAGTAATAATAATAATAATAATAATAATAATAATAATAATGTGGTTGATGCACTTTTAATTTCTCATATGCACAACTTTTAAAGTTTTGTACATTTCCTTTTAGTACAAATTATGGAAGGTAAGAGAGTGAATGGTCGGAGAATTTGTTATGCACAGTTGAAATGTTTCATTATGACCTGGCTTGAAAACCATTAATTAATATATATTAAGTTCTATTTAATGGAGCTTTTTAGTGCAGTTTCACATTAGTTTTATACCAGGACTTGGTATATAGGGCAATAACAGTTGGAGAGAGCTGTTGTCCCTCACTGTCCTGCTGGCAGGCTTCCCAAAAGCACCTGGTTGGCTAATGTGGGAACCTCATGGGCCTTTTGTTCTGATCCAGCAGGGCTTTTCTTGCATTCACATCCTCTTGGGTATGCAGCAGAAATAGGCTGAAACTGTATTTTCAGTATGCGAAATGATTATAGCAACATGTTTCCCCCTCTCATCTCATCTTTCAGTAGAAAATGTATTAGTCTGCAGAAGAGTCCCAGTTTTGTACATTAAATGTTATCCCTTCCCCCAAAAAAGGTGCACCTTAGCACAAACTATGTTGCTTACCAATGTTTTGAATTATTAAGACACATTAAGAACATTAGAATAGCCCTGCGGGATTGGATCAATGGCCCACGTGACCTAACATTCAGTATTCAACAGCGGCCAGATATTAACCTGGGAAACAGATATGCCCTGTGCTCTGCCCCTCCCCCTCCAGGATCTGTCAGTCAGGTGCATGGCCTCATAACATGGACATTGTGGTCTTAGCTGACATGGTGATCCTCTACAGAAAGGCCTAGTTTGCACATAAAACTAAACCATCGGTTATTAACTATGGTTAAAGACTGCTCATTAACCAAGGTTTGTAGTTCGTATATAAACCTTAGCTAATATTAACTATTGCTTAACTTTATGTGCAAGCTCAGACCTTATCCTTAATTATGGTAAAAGAGCTGCCACAGCCTGAAAGCTACAAAGCTGCAAGTGAAGAACAGCAATTCCTGGCTTGTGTTTCCTTTAACAGGGGGAGGAAAAGAATGCAACAAGGTTGCATTATGGTCTGCCAGACACACTAGCTTCCATTATCGTGTGTTAACTACGGTTAGCATTAACTATGGTTAATGTTAACCATAGCTTAGCATTATTTACAAACTAGGCCAATATGTTGTTACATAAATTACAGTAGGGTGGAGTTGGTGGACTCACCAAAGAGATACTGTTTTTCAGCAACAAGTCCATAGTGGCCATAAGTATGTGCTCTGCTCAGGAACCCGGTATTTGAGGTGAGTCACTGAGAGGATTTCAACTGTTTATTTGTTATGTGTTTCAGTAAGACCATCATCTCTCAAGAGATGACTACATTGCTCAGTCATTTTCAGCCTCCTACTTTACAACACATCAATCTGTTCAACCAGCTCAGATTTCATACTTTATATCAGGCCTCCCCTTGTCGGCTCTGCCTAAAGATGGCAAGGTGCCAAGCAATATAGGTTTGCCACCACCATCCCACTACCCATCCCAAATTAGCCATCCATTATGGTGTGACAAAATTTTGAGTGTCTATGTTGGGAAGGATAACAAATAAAACTGATTGAGAGGATTTAAAAACTATCACCTGAAAAACGGGGAAAAAATGAGTAGATGGGGAATATCTGTGAACCCTTTCTTGACCCATTTTTACCTCTACCCAAAATCCTGAAAGCAAAAGTTGATTTCACAACATCTAATAAGATTTGGGTACTTTGATAATATTTTTATTAAGATTATGGTACTTTGGGTTTTTTAAATCCATCTTTCTGTTTGTGCACCAGAGATTTAATCTCAGGCCCAAATTAGATAGAACAGTGCCAGAATCTGTGTGTTTAAACCCAGCTTTGTGTGCCAGCTTTGGCATTTTATTCCTGACTTGTTATGTCCAAAGTGGATTACATCCTGGCTTATTATCTGATATCAAACTAGACTTTCCCAGTTTGGATGTAATGAAAATGTCTGTCTTAACACAAGCCACAAATGAAGTGCCAATGCCAGCATGCAAGAGAAGGGAGGGAGGAGAGAAGGGCAGGGCACTTTCTCCAACATGCATTCCAAGATTCATAGACCAAGCATTTTTTTAAAAAACCACCATCACCAAATACTTAGCATCATTGCCATCAGGTCCTGCTACCAGATCAGCTGTAATAGTAGCCAGTTGCAAGATGGTGTTTTAGTGTAATAATCTTAAATACTTCTACTTGTAATGGACCCCGCTCCCAAGTGAATGTACTTCAGACTGGAACCTACACCTTCCTATTACTATCAGCCTATTCTACATGGACTTTGCCAAATAAAAGTTGCACAACTGAGCAATATGGGTCAAGGTAAAACCATGGCTGCATCAGAAAATCTGGATTAAGGGGGGGAAATCCAAGTGGATTTTAAAGGCTTGGGTTCTTGAATACTTGGCCATTTGAAATTGGGTTTATTTTTCAGGTCTAGAACCAATATTTAATTGTTGAAAGATTATAGACAATGGCTCTATTGGTACCCATCAACATAATTTACACAGAATCCAAAAACCATCCATTTTGTGCATAGGACGGCCCATGAATGCTCCTGCATTCTGCAGCAATTTCATGTTGCCACAAGTAGGCGTCCTTATGCTTTAAGAGTCTAGACCTAGGTCCCGATGCATCTCCCCCCACCAAAACCCCACCAATTTGGGCCCTGGCAAAAAACTAAGTGGGCACACCACTGGCGTTTAAACCCCTCTGTTCCTACCCCTGGTGGGGGGTGTAAATTGGCCATTCCTTCCTCATCAAAATGGTTGTTTGATGAGGATGGAGGAGGTGATTCACCCCTTACTCAGCTTATCTGCAGAAATAAGCTGAAGAGGAAGGGCTTGTGTGCTGTTTGTGTGTGTGTGTGTGTGTGTGTGTGTGTGCGCGCGCGTGTGCATGCACAAGTGTTTAGGTGAGATGGTCACAGTCACTTTGGGTCACACCCACCACCAGCATGCAGCCCCCAGAAGATTGACCAAGGTCATAAAAGATCTACCCCCTGCTGAACTAGATGGAGACCAACCATATGTTGTTGCTCATGTAGTTCCTTCTAGTGCTCCCTTCAACCTAATGCACATGCTTAGTCATATTTGTAAATCACATTTGCATACTGACTCATATCACTCCATCAAAAAGGATATTTCCATTCAACAATACTGATGCATGCCCTCCGGATGGGATTTTTCAGTGTTAGACACAGCAGTGCCCGGGGAGGACGTGTAGCTGTGGTGGTACCCTGTTTTTTCTGTTTCCCATACTGCTGCCGTTTCCTCTGTGTGGAGCTGGCGGTGGATATTGTTGCATTGCCGGCTGCACCCATCAATTTGGCCTGCCTGGCAGCATCGATAGCAGCCTGCCAGGAAAGGGCTGCACCTGGAGTAGCGATATGCTCAGGTGCAAGCCCTGCAGCTGCATTGGCATTCATGTTGGCATGAGCTGGACGGGGACTCGCATAGTTGGAACCTAGGAGAAAGAGGAGCAAAGATTAAATATATACGAATAGAACAGAGTTTGCAACAGCGACAAAAAAATTGATAAACATAATAGAATGATTCGTATATGCACATATCATAACCAGTTACCAACATCCAGTCACACCCTAGTAGTGCGACCAAGAAACATGCCCTCCAATGCTGAAAATAGTGACATGCTTGAAATAAGTTTACTGGAGATCACCACTTGAACTTTCTGCACTTATGTATTGTTGAAGGCTCTATTATTTCGTATGCTGCATTCAATTACTCTGCTATAACCTGTATTCCACTCATTTATAAGTCATAACAGGGTTAGTGTTTTTTATTAAAACTATGTGGAAAAAAAGAAAGGGGTGGACTATGTCAAGCAAGGTAGCCTTGAAAAGATCTGCAACACCTGGCAAGATTTCCTAGCCCTCTTTAGTGACAAGGAGCAGAATACAAGGATGACTGGCGCACAGCTTTGCCTGGTAACTAAGCTGCCCTTCCATTTTTATTCCTTCTCCTCCTCATTTCTTATTTTGGCTTTTATTTTGGCTCATGTTGTTACTGTTTGGCTTGTAATTAGATGGGAGGAGGCACATGGGAGATTAGGTGGGAGGAGGGACATAAAGACTGGGGGTGGCTGGGGTAAGTGGTGGGAAGGAGAGAAATGGCACATGTTGTTTAGTATTTTGAGCACTACCAGCTTAGTGCTTGTTAAATCTCAAACAATAAAAATCATTGCTAACAAAAAAGTCAGTGAAGAAAAACAAAAACATGTATGGTTAATGCTATTCCAATGGCCGCTCACCGGTTTCCCAGTGGGTGACAATTGCGGCCCCTCACTCTCAGCTTGCTTCCCCACCAGCCTGGGCACACATGTTTGCTGGCTATGTTTGGAAGGGAATTCCCCTTGGTCAGAGAGATCTTGGTGGGTGGTCTTCCTGCCCCCAAAGGTAATTTCAAATGAACCAATCCGTGGCCCCTCCTGGAGGGCAGTGACTTTAAATTTCTGGTGTATTCTAGGTGCCCCGTTAGAGAGGTCTCGGTGGATGTCCCTGTCCAGAAGTCAAGTGTGGGGCAGATGAACCATAGGGCTTCCAGCGGTGGCTTTAGGGTGGCTAACTCAATAGATCAACGTCTTGGGGACGCCACAATCCTTGGCATGAGCCTGAAGCAGTTCCAGCCCTACTGATTACACCTACATCTTTAATCCGTAAAATTGTGGCCATTTTCAATCCAGATCATTATTTTCCTGAGTTTGTACTGTCACACTTCACCATAGTATTACTCCATGGTGGTGGGGAGGCACTGCGACTGGGATTGCCATTCAAAATCTAACTGAACAGCTGAACGCGTGAAATGGCAGACCATGCACTGCATTGTGCCTTAGTGCTCATGTGCATGTGCATGTGCTCTAGAGACAAAAATGCATCCAGCACCATCGCTCCAATGTTTAAGTTCTAGACATCCAGGGGAGGAAGCTGAACCCTGAAAAATGACAGCTGCAAAAAGCTACAGTAACAAGATATTAACAAGGTATCACCACACCCCCAAAAAGCAAAAAATGAAGAAAATAGGAATAGTAGTTTAGAGGTAACAAAAACGGGCTGTGAGCAATGAATGAAAATTGGCAATGAACAGGGTAGTTTTGTGTCATTGCAATGTGGGGAATCTCATACACCAGAGCAAGTTACTTGTTTTCCTTCCATCGTAATGATGGCCCTGAGTGAACGCTTTTAAAACGCTCGTATGGGGGGGGGGACCACTGCACTTGGGGCTATGCAGCTATGGGGCTAAACCAACCCACTCCTGACATTGGGTGGCCTGTGGTCCCTGGGGGCCTTCCACACATACCCTGATTGTCATTGTAGTATTTTGCTAGTACACTTAATAAAAGCCCTTTGTCGCCAAGAGAGCTTGTGTTACAAGGCAAATGACATATGCAAATAAATAAATTTGCTTCAGTTTAGCCTTTCACTTGACAGTTAAACACCACTTCCTTCACCCCTTGCATGTAAACTGCCTATCAACTTTGCATACTCTTAAATTGTTACAATCTCCAGCCACTTGACACTGTTCTTTCTACCTGCTCATTTGGACCTACTTAGGAAATATGAAAGTTCACAAAGGGGAGCATAGATATTGGTCCTCCAAAAGCTAAACCTATTTTAGCACTTGATCAATTCGAAAAACACTATAAACAAAGATAGAGTGGCAGAGAAAATCTGACCTGACGTGTTCAGTGAAAAAATGGAGGTGAGAAGATGAGAGGTTTTATTCCTCAATCCTGCCTCCCCACACCCCAGCGATACAACCATTACAGCTAGCTATCAAAAGCCAACAATTTAGCTAAAGACAAAATAAATATTTTTAAAAATGGGAAGATGGGGGGGGGGGGAGATTATAAAAACTACCTCAATAGGAAATATATGTTAAAAGCAAGCTAAATGAATAAAAATTTGGGAGCTTATTTAAAGGGGGGTTTTTCATACCATGCTGTGCTTGACCTATGGAATTTCCATATTAGTTGTACTGCAATGAAGCAAACAGAAGGCCCACCCAATAGTAGAAAAGTGTGGAGAAAGGTGTGTGAGGAGATGCTGCCACAAAGATAATGATGATTTAATTTATATATCAATATGCCAAAATAGGCTTCTATATGATCCACAGCTGAGTGAGTGAATAGATATTGGTTGCTGCTCACTTCTGTATGCCCACATTTGTTCATGACTGTTTTCCTCCAAGCCTGTTGGCCATTACATTCTTTGTCCATTTGGTTGTTATCCTAGTACAAGCACTGGGTGTTAACTCAATATAAACATTCATTCTTGGATAGCTTTATCCATTAAGCATGTTTCCATTTGAAACCCTATTAAAAATGAAAGACCATGCTGTGACATGTTAATTTGGAGCCAAAGATATCAGTGTAGCCAGTGCATTCAGATATTTTACTATGTCCTATAATAAAGTCCAACAGAATAACAAAAACCACATGCACTCCATTTTAAATATTCAGGCAGAACTAGACTACTGGTAGCCATTGTGGTATACTCCAGATGTTGCCTAACTACAGCTCCCATCATCCCTGACCATTGACCATGCTGGCTAGAGCTGATAGGAGTTGGATTTCAACAACATCTGGAAGGTACCACATTGACTGCCCCTATTCCTAGACAAAGGCAGACTCTGTATTAGTTTTCTAGCTCATCAAGGTAGAAGTACTAGTTATCCATAGCAAATCTTTGAGCAACGTTTTTTATGTGTAATAAAGTTCACCATAGCATTAGTCCAGCAAAGAGGAAGTTCGTATTGAATGCATTTAAAGCTATCACTGCTATTTGGATGCAATGGTTTAGACTTACAACGGTAGGAAGAAGATTGCTTATGGAGAAATACTTTAATACGGAATGACATTCATGTGATCAAATAGTAGCATCTTAGCACCAACATTTAATAATCATGTCCAGCAATTATTTTGATGGTTATATCATAGAACTGTATAGAATTACTAAAAGAAACTATGGATATCATTTCCATTTGAACACTTGGCCTTTTTAATAAGTTATATAATGGAACTAGTAACTGAAGATGCTGAACTGGTAATACACATATTAAAACTAGGAAAAATATAAATTGCATCAATATGGAAAATGCCAGATGTTCAAACAAAAATGGAATAAAGAAGAAATTAAAAGCATAAAGAAATTATAGAATGTGTCTCGGCTAATGAAAGTGGCATTGATACTGTCTAGAAACAATTGGAAGATAAACAATAACTTTGTAAATAACTTGGAATAATATCTATTTTTTAGATTCAATATAGTGTTAACCAATGTTCTATAATATTCTTTGTGCATCCTCAAATTATTTTTTCTTGTTAAGTAATAGTGATATAAATATTTGTTTTAATAGTAAGTATCGGAAGTGTACGTTTCAGCCATGGCATTGAACTTGTGGAATGTACCTTCTGAGGAAGGCACACCTGGCTCTTCTCACACTTGTTTCAGGCTAGAATAATTTTAAGCCTGTCTTACTTTTACTGATATCGGTGTTGGAGGTTTCAGGGTGGGTAAAAATGTAAAGTAAGAGTTAAAAACAAAAACAAAAACTATCTCTGATGGGCAAAACCCTGTGCAACATTACATGCACACAGGTTCTATTGCTTTCATTGGGAATTTTCTGTGTTTTAACTGCTACCCAATTTGCAGCCAGTTATTTGAATGTTTCTCAAATCAGTTGAAATTTACTGTATATGTTTTTATATAATGCAAAGCAGGCATCAATGCCATAGCAAAATTGAACACTCTCTGCAAAGAGGATTAAGGTAAACCACCCAACAAAAACAAACAAACCTACCCCTCAACCCACAGATGCTATGGGTAGTTTTAGACATGTGTTGTTCAAGGTCAGAAGCCAAGCACCACACACATGCATAGCTATGACTAATACATCACTGAAAACGTGTATGATTATTCAGTTAACAAAGACCCAATTACATGAAATTATTTAAAAATCCAACACAAAACTACAACTTGCTAAGCTTATATGATTCTTCAGATTAAGCAAATCAAAACTGGCGATTTATCAAATGGTTGGAAAGAAATCCTTATCATTGTGCAAATACGATTTGTAGATCATACATTTACATCCATTTATTAATTTACAGAATGTAGTTTGTAATTAGATTTCAAAGTGCTTTAGAAAACAACATCTTAATTACAGAGGTAAGAATGGGTGTGTGTGAATAATTGGGTTTTTCATCAGGCAAAGCAATGCCTCCTCACGAACAAATTTAATGCAAGATGTATGAAGAAGGCACCCTGCCAATCTCTCACAACAGGAATGTTTGGATTCTGCGAGTTACACATAAAATGCATGTTTGAAGTTAGGTAGCAGAGCAAGAAAGTGCTCCTCTGAATTCCCTTGCATGACTTGTTAGAGCCAACTCATTTCAGTCCCAGCAAGTACCATCTCCATCCCTACAGACCTGCCCAGGGTTAAGATCCGCAGAGAGTTTAGGGCTTTACACACCAATGTGAGCAGCTTGTATTAGGCGTCCAAAATTAACAGCAGACTTGTTTTTGTTCTGGTGTATGCAATGCTTTTTTTCTGTTTTGCAGCTGTGCAGTATGTGTTCACATTGTATTGTAATGGCCACTGGCTACAAACAACAAAACTGAATCCCAAATCATGAAGGAGGGAGCATATATAGCAAACTTCGCTATCCAGGTGTTTCCCCTCACCTTCATGCAGGGTTGCCATATGTCCAGCAACGACTTTGACCCCCCCCAAAAAAACCCAACAACTTTTGTGTGTCTGAACCTTATGCCCGAGAAGGGAAGAATAATGTGAGTGGGAGTGGTAATTAGTATTGTGAAGGGTATATGTATGTTTCTTGTGTGTATCTGGTATTTCTATTGTTTTTAATTAAAAAAAAACTTGCGTTTCCTGTGCATCTGGATTTTTTTAATTGAAATTTTTGTGTGTGTGTATCATGGTCAATTAAAATTTCACATTCAAACAAATATAAACACATAGGTCCAGTGCTAGTCCTAGTTAGACTTCGTAATCAATAAAAAGGCCACATAAAGTTCACACTGACTTTACAAGACTAGAGAAAATGGAAGGATATTCTAGAGGTCGTACAGCATCACCTCAGCTGTGTTAGCAAACACTTTTCACAGCAGGGAATAGAGCATGTACTTGAAAAGAACAATTTTCAAATTACAAGGCCTACCTAGTTATACCAATCAGCCACTAGCTGAGAAAACAACTCGCCAACGGCCCTACTTTAGAATTCCTCTGTCACGTGTCCTGAAAATTCTATTAGAGATGTTTTCTTTATCTGTGACCAGCCTGTGGCCCCTGTTGTGGTATATTGGCAATAATTATATTAAGAAGCTAGATTGCCCTATAGCTGTGTAGATATGAAACAGCTGTAATTATTCCTTCACAGCACATAAGAAATTTATTCCATTTGTCTGAGCACTGACTGTCCTTGAGAGACTGCAGCTCCTTTCACCTCAGAAAAGGTGTTGTGTATTTTGAAAAGGCAGGATACAGTAGAAGGAAGTTCCCATATAGGAGGCAGAGGAGCTGGGTCATCCCTCATAGAAAAATGAACTTGCAGGTTTGCACAGATTGTGCCCTGATTTTCAAAAGGATTACTACCCAAACACAGTGAAGTCATTTTATGCAGAGAGATTAATTGCAGCCCTGTGAGTCAATATACAACGGGAAAGAGACCAAATCCAGGAAAACAACTTGAGAGGAGATTAATATGTATTGAAGGAAAATGAACAGAGTGTCTAGTTCTTCTTAGATGACTGTTGCTTTCATATTGTTCATCCAAAACTAGAAGTAAATCAAAGAGCACAGTATCTAATTGGGAGTAGAGGAGTGTGATCTAGGTGTACTCAGATAGCTCAGACTAAGTCCATTGTAAAGAAATGCCTTCAGTGAAGCACTTTTCACAGGTGCTCACATATTACTGGCTGGGATTGCATTTAAAACTCATACAACCCCTGTTCTAAAACAACTGCATTGGCTGCCAGTGACTTAGGCCTCAAAAATCTACCTTCCTTCCTTTCAAACCCTCCCAACAACAACAGAGGGGCCCATCTTGGCAGTTCCACCTTCCTCAGAAGTTCAAGTTTAACTGTTTTTAATTCTGAATTTTAATTTGTTGTAACCCACCCTGGGACCTGCTAATGAAGGCTGAACAGAAGAGGAGGAGGAGGAAGATGTTTGGATCATGAGCAACAACTCATTTGTGCACTGTAAAACTAACCAGATCATCTGTAAAGACAATTAGATCATTTTCTGGTTTGGGAGTGCAGCGACAAGGATTCTGCAAAATTAAGAAACCTGTGCAGCCATAATTACTGTGTCCCTAACATGCTAGGCCAGGACTTGGTTGTCATACAAATAAACAGCTACAGCATTCTACATTTTTTTAAAGTGTTCTGCAATTTTGAAAATTTGTCTCTCCCTTATTACTACTTATTAGTTGCATTGAACCAGGGCCTTTTATTTTCTAGACACTGCCTAGACAGTATCACTGTCTATCTAGACAAAATTGCCCTGGCAAGTACTTCCAACATGGGGGAATAGCACTATTTCCCTGCACAATCCACTAAATTTAGTTTCTGTCAACAATGATTCTCAAGTCTCTTTTTCTCTAGCGATGTTACAGCACATCCACCATGGTCACATATTGATAGTGCTATAACGTCACTGGTATCTATGTCCCTATTAACTACTGCTGCACCATTTTTAATGTATCTCTATTGCCTATGGCACAGAAAGGTCCGTTATAAGTGCCTCCTGACTGGTCACCCTGAAATGAAACCTCCCTGTTTTTGCTTCTCCTACCTTTGTCCAAAGTTTGAGTGCGGTACATTTCTCTAGCAATTTGGGAGGTGGAGATCCCTTCCATACAATATTATCCCCAGGCTGCAAAGCTCCTCTTTATTATGTGGGGATATGGACATCCCCTTGCTGTGGCTTGAATAAGGAAAATACATGCAAATGAGAGCAATACCCTCCCGGAAAAAGGCTCCAATGATTGCATGCTTGAAACTTAAGAATGCCACTTCCATTGGGCTTCTTTGTTTCTACTATAATAACATGCACCATAATGGAGTCCTCTGGCTTGAATTAATTTCAAATGATCACTCTCTAATGGCAGATTTATATGAGCAAATATTGCAGGTATTGATTACTGATAAGGACCTGTCTCTTTTATGAGACTCCAAGTCTGCAGACATTAACCATACTAAATAACTATAGGCAGTAACAAATGACTTGATCTCCAGGCAGTTTATAGAAACAGCTTCAATTAGAAACACTAGCACTCAACGAAAGCTGGAAGAAAGCTAGCCAATTCCAAAAGCAGAGTTATTTCCAAAGGTTGTAGAGAACTACAGGCAGAGTGCTAGAAACCCAACAGAGCTGTTGATAATGGCTATTTGAATAGCCAAGTGTTTGAGATTTTTATCTATCCAAATTGGGGTCCTTTCATTTTCAAGGCATGAAAGTTAATTTCAAGATTTAACGGTATCATCAAAATCCTAAACAAAGATTCCAAATACAGATTTGTAAAGCATCCTTAATGCAGCCTGTCAAACGAGACTGGAATGTGAGTCAAATACATGCAACGACCAATTTAGCTCATCCAAATGACATGCAATTGCACACATGTGCAAGGCGCTGGTCCCAGAAGTAGTCCCCAAACATCATAAAGACATCATGACAAGAAGCAGGGCAGGGGGTCCAGAATGGGCAGGGGTCCAGAACAGAACCCCCATGCAAAACCAGTATTGCCTGTATTGAAACGCCAAATTTTATTTGTTTGTTTATTTATCAAAATTTATACACCTCTTAGTTGTAAAAAAACACACCCTCAAAGCAGTTTACAAAAGGATAAAACAATAAAAATCCATTTTAAAATTGCCTCCATACTTTAAAACATACAAAAGTCAAAATACTAAAACAGATTAAAATTATCTCAACTATCTAAGCATCTAGGTAGGATTGTCTACATCGAAATGTTCTTAGCAGGTGCCAGAAAGAGTACAGGCACCTGCTTAATATCAATAGGTAGGGAGTTCCCATGGTTGCTGTCACACTAAATGATGCAGTTCTTACAAATGCAGAATGGGTACCACGTGGCACCTGTAGTAGTGCCAATTCTACCATGGGCGCATGTGGGGTAAGGCAATCTCATAGGTAAACTGGTCCCAAGTTGTTAACAAGCTTTCTATACAAATAGTAATACCTTGAACTTGGCCCAGTAGCAGATCTGCAACCAGTGCAGATCCCTGAACACAAGTGGTATGTGCTGGCAAGGCGCCACTCTTGTCAGCAATCATGTTGCAGCATTTGCACTAACTGTAGCTTCCAGATCAAGCATGAGGGAAGCCCCACACAAAGTGCATTGTAGTAATCCAGTCTTGGAGTAACCAGCACATGAAATACCGTGGCAAGGCTTTTCAGGAATGGTCATAGCTGCTGAACCAGTTGCAGTTAGTAAAAGATACTTCTAGCCAGTGAGGCTACCTGAGCCTCCCTTGACAGAGCTGGTTCAAGAAACACCCCCGAACAGTGAACCTGCTCTTTCCAAGGTAGGCCACTGACCAACTTCTCAGACCCACAGTGCCTCTATCTTACTGGGATTCAAGCTCAGATTGTTTTTCCTTATCCGTTTCACTACCGTGTCCAGGGACTACACAGCCTCTCCTGATTCAGATGTTGTAGAGAAATAGAGATGAGTGTCATCAGAATACTGATTCTACCATGCTCTGAAACTCCTAATGACCTCTTCCAAAGGCTTTATGTAGGTATTAATTAGCAATGGAGATAAAATAATCCCTTGTGACACCCCATTACGTAGCCACCAGTGGGCTGGAAGGCACTGTCCCAATGCTACTCTCTGGACGTGGTGCTGAAGGTAGGATTTGGAACCACAGTGCCTCCAATTTCCATTCCCTGGAGCAGTCCAGGAGGCTACTATTGTTGATTGTATCAAAGGCTGACTAGAGATCAAGAACAGAAGAAAGGTTGCATTCCCTCTGTCCTGCTCTCTGCAAAGTTCATCCATCAGGGTGATCAAAGCCAACTCAGTTCCACAGCCAGATTGGAATGGATCTAAATCATTTGTGTCCTCCAAACATGTCTGCTCCTGCCCCACCACAGCTCTCTATACAACCTTCCCCCAAAGGTGGAATATGCAACTGCAACAAGTGCAGAGTCAAGAGCACTTTGAAGATGAGCAACTTTATCCACAGAGTGCATAGCCAGTTGATCAGAGCAGGAGAGCAGGTCTTTGAGTGCTCCAGAGGTCACCACCAGCACCACACACACTCAGAGTCAGTAACCTCCAAACCATCCAAAATAACTCCATTGGTCAGCTATTAGAGGACACAATGCGAGCTGCAAAATAAGCCTTCTTCACAGCCACACAGTAGGCATGATTATGTGTTCTTACCAGTGTTTGGTCAGCTTCATAGTGAAACTTGTACGTGTCAGAGTGCCAAGGAGCTGCTTGGGCTCCAAAATGCCAGAGAAGATACTCAGCAGCAATAATGTCAACTGCCTGTTTCATCTCACCATTCCATAGTGAGATGAGGGCTTCAGCAGGATCCCCCAGAGCTTCAATAACACATCAGGTTCCATCAGTCTCTGAGGGCTTCACTTCTGTATCCTGACCGGGGCACCTCTGCCCCTATGTAACCTGCAAGTGGCAACCCAGTGACCCAAATATTGTCAATTGGCTGCTATGATTCCATGATTCTATTATTTAAAGTTGTTTGACGATAGCAAAATATTCCAAAGCAGAATGGCCTACTTCTTAATTGCATTATGGCGTCATCTGGGGTTCTTTGCTCCTTAGCCATGCAAGGGTCTGGAGACATATGCATGGAAACACAACACACATGTTGAAATGTAAAAGCAGAGGTCCCCCACAACAAAATGTAACATTGACTACATTTTAAAATGAACTTTTGTCTTTGGGTAGACAAAAGGCATGTGTCCTATTTGCTTAAATTCATTTTAAACAACATTTGTGATTGTTTGGTCTGTCTCCCAGGTTCCAAATAAAAGCCAAGAACAGTTCATTCTTTCAAACATCAATGGCATATGTTTATACTGTATCTGCATAACATTTTTCAGTTATAAATAACGGGTGGTATCCAACATTAGTCATAATCAAAGTAAACCCATTGAAATTAATGAACATAACTAACATATGTACATTAATTTCAGTAGGTTTACTCTGGGTAGAATTTGGTTGGATACAGCCCAATAGTTTAATTTGTTGACAAATTAATGGAAATTATCAAAAGGGTAATATGGACATTATCCATATAACATTATAACTTTATACATTATAACTGAGCATTATCAAAATGGTAATATGAGGAATACCATGTGTGCACTGAGATTGTCTATGGGTTTCTTCCCACTGCAGCCCATTGCTGCACCCTCCCCCCCCCAAAAAAAATATCTTGTGAGAATTTACTCACCAGTAGGTGTGAGGAACCTTTGGTTCTCCAGATGTTGCTGAGTTACAACTCCAGTTGGACCCAGCAAGCATGGCCAATGACAAGAGGTGGTGGGAGCTGTAGTTCAGCAACATCTGGAGAACCAAAGATTGACCACACACGGTTCAGAGCAAGAATCAAAAGCATCAGGAAGGGATGCAGCTAGAAATAAATATCATCCAACCTCCTTCACCTATATATGTGGGAAAGCACGCACCCAAGGGTGAAGGATGCTGGCCATAACTTAATAAAAACAGTTAAATTACTGATTTAATTAGGTAAGAAAGTAAGGTAAAGGACCCCTGGACAGTTAAGTGCAGTCAAATTCTACTATGGGATGAAGTGTTCATCTTCGCTTTCAAGCTGAGGGAGTTGGTGTTTGTCTGCAGACAGCTTTTCTGGGTCATGTGGGCAGCATGACTAAACCACTTCTGGTGCAACAGAACACCGTGACGGAAGTCAGAGCACATGGAAACGTCGTTTAATTTAATTATTTGATTTAATTATTCAAATTGGATTCATTAGACAGATTTATCTAGAATGGGAGTAATGTGAATGTGGCCCGAATAACTTGACGCAGGGGAGATGGGAGTACCTAGCAGACTGGATGACCAGATTTTCCCCTCCCCCAGCCCATGTGACGTGGAAGATGGAGCAAGTTTGTTTACTTCTGCTCCAGAAGCTATTTGAAGATGGCTATCATATCTCATTTCGGTCTCCTGTTTTCCAGGCTAAACATACCCAATTGTATCAACCATTCCTCACTAGGTTTGCTTTCCAGGCCCTTGGTCATTTTGGTCGCCCTCCTCTCCACACGTTACAGCTTGTCAATATCATTCTTAAATTGTAGCGCCCAGAACTAAAGACAGTATTTCAGATGTGGTCTGACCAAAGTGGAATAATGCGGTGCTATTACTTCCCTTGATCAGGACACTATACTTCTGTTGATGCAGCCTAGCATAGCATTAGCTAGGAGCAGAATCAATGGTTTCAAATTACATGAATGGGCATTCTGATGAAACATCAGGGTGAACTTTCTGACAGTAAAAGCTGTTTGACAGTGCAACAGACTCAAGGTGATGGACGCTCCTTCATTGGAGGTTTTTTAACAATGAAGAAGATGGGTGGCCATCTGTCACAGATGCTTTAGTTGAGATTCCTGCATTGCAGGTGGTTGGACTAGATGACTCACAAGGTCCCTTCTAACTGTACAATCCTATGACTCTATGATACTATAAAGTACATTGATTTAAGATATTTTCTCCAGGTAAATTGATAGGCTAAGTCTAAGGCTCAGTGTTACAGCTAATAAAAATTCTTAAAGAGTATAGAAAGTTACTGTGTTGTTGCAGCCTGGTGGCCAGTGCAGAATTATAGTTCTGAGATTCCAGTTGGCTTAAACTCAAGAGCTGGCCTTCAGCTTAACTGTATCATGAATCCAGATGTTAAATGGTAGTCTCTCTGGGAAAAATATTTATTTTTGTTTCGGTAACATTGTAGAACTTGCAATATATATTTAAATATAACATACCAGCAGAGCTTTAACAGTTAAAACTAAATGTCAGAAAATGTAAAAGTTCAGCTGCTTCTTACAATAGGAATTAAGCCACACAGCAGAAACTCCTTACTATAGTATACGTTTTACAGCCAAGTCATCCAAAATCCTGCATACACTGGCTATAAAATCTTTACAATAGCTTTTTTTACAAATAATTAATGTAGCATAAGCTACATTAATTATATTAAATCCAGTATCACAGCAGTTAAAAAACTACATTCAACCATTGCAAACTAATGCTACCATGAGGACTGTAATTTTTATATTTCCTGACTTTATTTCATTATTTTCAACATAAATGTTCTCTAGTGCCTCAGCAATTTGCATCCAGTTAACTTTTAAAGAGAGAGAATATAAAACAGCTGTAGTACTGTAGAATACATAACCAAGTTACAGAACTTTTTCTGAAAAATGTAACACCACAATCCTATTCCTGTTACTTAGAACAAAATCCCATTGTGATCAATGAAGCTTACGCTCAGGTAAGTATGCATTGAACTGCAACCTTTTGTTACAAGCTTTCATGGACCACAGCCCACTTCATCAGATGCATGGCGTATGAACTGAAAATCCCACGCCAGCCAGGCATTTGATGAAGGGGTCTCTAGTCCAATAAAGCTGATGCCACAATAAAATGTGTTAGTCTTCAAGGTGTCAGAAGACACTTTGTTGGTTTTGGTGACAAAAACTAACATACTCCTCTGTAAACCTTTGTTATATATCTTAAAAATATAAAGCCAAAACATGTCTGCCACATTCTCCCTTGATTATTGTCTTTTAACCTTACCTCAGTAGAAACAATCAGCTTCTGAGAGCTACCCAGTTTACAATTTCATTTGTGCTTTTTTCGCTAATCAATCAACTAGAGCGGGGGATGGGGGGGACAGAGCTGACTCATGGCCTGCAAAATGAATATTGGGCCTACAATATCAACTCTTCCTAAAATAGGTCAAATCTGAAGATTTTATGACATCATTTGGTTTGTACCAAAACGAACTGCAGCCTAAAGTAGAGTATTATAGTATAGACACTCTTTGTTTAAGAATGACAACAGACATTTCTGACAGAAAATGAGAGGGGAAGTCATATGCATTATAAATTTAAATTATTCATCTAAGTTAACTACTCTAACAAAGGAATCTTGGGAAATATATTTCTCTGGAAGAACTAGGAATTCTCAGCATCTACACAAAATTACAACGGAGTCTAGCTGGCTACATTTCACATGTTATATATATGAAAAGATGAGAATTCCGTGAAGAGAAAACTCTTGAAGAAAGAATAACTGAATCCACTGGATGAAAGTAGCAAGATTACCTCAAAGATCAGCAGGGCGTAACAAACGTATTTTATAAGGTTTATTATCTTTCTATCTCAGAGGACTATGATGAAAATGAAAATTAATCAGAAACACAGTAAAATTAGTTGCCTGCTTTGACAAGTAACATACAGTCTATACTAAACAACATTGTCTGATAGGTTAAGTTGGCAAATGTTATTATGTAATTATCTATTTAGAGTTTAGAGTTCCTCTTGTAATTCTAAATGAATATGCAGTTGGTTCCTTTAAAGGATTACTTCTGTATATTTGTAATTTGTTTTAAGCCACTTTGATTATTGTCATTGCAACAGAAGAACAGGATATAAATCTTTTAACTATATAATATCAAATGTCACATAATTGTGCAATTGCTATCAATTTTAATGTCTTACACTGCTTCTACTTTGAGCCCTTGGAATGGCAGAATCCTGTCAGCTGAGGAAAGCAGCAAGAGTGCCTCAGAAATCAATAGAACTAATGAATATGATTTTAAAATATTTGTTATAGTCTTAGATGATTTGTTTATACATCACATTTTCCACTAATACATTTGTGCCCAAGGTGGTTCATCTATTCTCCTCAGATTTCTTTCCCAAGGAAATCCAAACTCAGGAACAACAGCACAAATTTGCATAAGGAAAGAACTGCCAGCTAACATTTACTGTTTGGAACTTAACACTCAAGCCACATGTCGTTTTCACCTGGACAGTACAGGAACTGAAAATCTATGTTTGGAGTTCGTTTGACTCAAATCCTCAAAATCCAGGAATGGCTGGGGAACACAGAAGTTGAGTTTGAGCAATATTTTCCTTTCTCTATCCAGACCCCTTCTCTATGGCTTGGCTGACTCATGCTTGTTCTGATTGGCTCCACCAGAAAGCATGAAGGAGAAGGAGGAGAAAGGTAGATGGGAAAGAAAGAAGCAGCCCTTGCTTCAGGGCTGCCTGCCAAGTTAAAAACATTAAAAGAGCCCTGCTAGTCCACCTAGTGAGCCCAGGATCTTGTTTGCAATGGCAGCCAGCCTGATGCCTCTGGGAAGTTTATAAGAAGAGCATGAAAGCAAACACCAGCACCTGTTTTCTTTCCCCAGTATTTGGTATTCAGTAATTCACTGCGTTTAGACTTGGAGGATACATTAAGTGATCTTAGCTAATAGGCACTGGAAGACCACTACCTCTGTAAATGTATATAAAACCCATCAAGACTGGCTACATGTTAATGTGCTAATTGTGTAAAAAACAAAACACAAGAAACACCAATTGTTGCTTCTGAAGGGTTGCTTTTCAGGAAAGAGTCAATGCAAGTTGGAAGATTATGTACTTAGCAATGATATCCCATTTACTTTTTTGCTACAACTCCACACAGTTTCATTTCCTGATGTCCAGAAAGCCTGGACTCAAATGTTGCAACCTTAATTAGACTCACCTGTAATATCTAGAGCAAATGCAGAACTTAATTGAGAATATCAATAATAAAATATGTCATTTTATTTTATCATAAATATATGTGCATGTTGCATTTATTTGTACTGTTTATCCATTTCTCCCTAGTTCATCCTCTCTCCAGAACGTATCAAGCTGTCAGAGACAGAAGAACTCACTCCTTTAGGGAGGTTTCAGGAGTGGGCAATAGTGCAACCACAACTGGAGGGTTACATAAGGGCACAATCCACAGGGAAGGTTTCTTTTGTAAATCCCATTGAAACAAATGTGGGTTGTGCAACAGCACTATCGTGGATTATGGGCAGATAGATAGATATTAAGAGACTGAAAACATGCACAATAGCCTTTCAATGATGGAAAAATGAACACACGGAACAGCAAATAATCAGCACACAGTACCGACCATGTAATTCCTAGTAACAATAAAAGATGCACTTTCTTTATGGATTTTCTTCTAATCCTGAAAAAGCAACAGTGCCATGTTTTCTGTCAGTATTTAATTATTTAGCTTAGGAAGCAGAAAAACACAGAGATTAACATCACCAAAAACGTTGCTGCATCCCTGATTTCTTACACGCAGCATGATTAGCCAATGTTGCATTCATTGCCTCTCCCATAATAGATTTCTTTTTCTAAAAAAGATCTGCTCTTACAAACAAAACCAGCAACCAGTCAGGCAGTGTCACAGTGGGATGAAGAAGCTATAACAGACCTGAGATTTCTTCCCTGTCTGTTTCAGATTAGATGGCTCTGGAAGGCAGCATTTCAGTTTAAAAACACACACACACACACACACACACACACACAGCATTTTCCTGAATTACCACAGCATCTATACTTTAATTATTCAGTGAACAGGGTCCTGATACCCTGCTAGCAGTAAAGGCAAATGATCTTCTCACTTACCGGCTAATTTAGCTTTCTGCGGCTCAAGCTGCAACATCGCAGGTGCTGTGATCCCCCTCCTCACTGGCTTTGATAGGCAGATTAGTGGCCAATCACTATCCAGGATTTCCCCTCACTCACCCTTCCCTCCGTTATCACTATTCTTTTTATATGGACCTTTCCAGACTGTAATTAACCTGTTAGCCCGCTCTACCCAACTCAAAACACAGGTAACACCTTGTCTGAGAGAGTTCTCTCAGTGGGGGGAAAGCCAGGGCTTCCTCAACAGACCCACTTGAGGCAAAGAAGCAAGTTCAAAGAGGGGGCTTTGGTGAGCAACAAGCATGCTGAATCAATGTGCCTGATACCTTTAATCTGCATAGAAACTGCCATCCTTGTGTTTATAGCTATAAGGAACAAATTGAGTCAGCGTCAAGCAAAAATAGCAGTGATAGCCGCAGATGACCATGCTAGTACTTTTTACCCATTTGTCAATCTTATTTCTTCTCAAAGGGAAAGCTATCTGGAAGCATATTAATATAGGCATGCTGGCTTCAGTAGAAAACACGTATAGTAGGAAGGGAAAGGGTCGACTTCTGTGCCAAGTGGGTACAGCAACTAGCCACACTGATTGAGCTAATCTCTCCACCTCACTGAAAACGTCCAAAAGAATTTGGAAGAAACTACTTAGCCCACACCCTTCTGAAGTACTCCCACAGGCTCCCAAAGTGCTCCCGGGCACAATTCAAGGCACTAGTTATGACCTACAAACAGTTTAAGTCCTGCATGCATACCTTCATAAATTCCTTACTTTATGAGCCTGTGAGATTCCTTCTTTCTTTTTAGAATGCCCTATTAAAATGCTCCATATGCGTTCCAAATTTACTCAGTTAAAGCACACTTCCACCTGGCTTATAGAGAGCTCTCTGAGGGTCTCTTCAAACAGGCCTCCCAGGATGCAGTCTCTATATATGGTGAGGCATGGGAGCTAATCTCAGACTGTGCTATAATATAGAGAATATACTCTCTGAGTCAAGACATGTGTGTACAAATATAAGCCCTGTACATACAACCCATCCATCACCAAAAGTGGATTGGGTGGGTAGAACGTAAACATGTACAGAAGTGTGTAGATATATCTCAGCCTGTACATATTGTTCTATATGTGGCTGTGGGGTGAGCCTCAGGTTCCCTGTGAACATAGTCTATACATACGTGAGCTGGTTGTGTTAAAAAAAAAGTCTTTCTTAGTCTGAACCACTGGGGTTTAAAAAAAGGATAGGCCACTTCTAAACTCTCCCCTAAATGTAGGGTGACAGTTTGTAAGGTGGAGCAGAAAGTAAAACACCGGGGGGGGGGGGCTCAGAAACTGTTCTACATATGCAAAACTCACCTCAGAGCTTTCTGGATTAAACTCTTGATTTTGGAATATCCATCATCTTCACCCCCACAAAATATGGGAGAGTCATCTTCTGGATTTCATTTAAAAAATTATTTGTATTTGAAACTGGTAGAGATGAGGGCAGAATCTAGATGTGTGTGTAATAGCTTTTAAAGAAAGTCACGGCAGCAGGTGCGTTGTATGTGCACATTTTTTTGCTGAGGCGCTGCATGTCGAAAAATATTTTGTCACCTTCAAACAGTTTTCTTTACAAATGTTTAGACCTCAGAATTCCCACAGATCTTAGGAGCTTTTATAAACTACAGGAAACTTGGACAGCTTAAACTCTTGTTGCTGGACCGAGTATAATTCAAAGGATTTATAGACACAAGGGTGAGTCTAGAAAAGATCCTTAAAGTGTTGAACAATAGGAAGCTAAAAGTGTTATATCTGGTCTTTTGGACTCAACCACTGCTCCTTATATTATAGTGTGCTGTTTGTATTTTAGGCTGTCAACTGATTAAAGTTTTTTCACTGGCCCATTATTTGGCTTTTAGCAAGTTAATGTACAGTGGTACCTTGGGTTAAGTACTTAATTCGTTCCGGAGGTCCGTTCTTAACCTGAAGCACCACTTTAGCTAATGAGGCCTCCTGCTGCCACTGCACCGCCGGAACCCGACTTCTGTTCTTATCCTGAAGCAAAGTTCTTAACCTGAAGCACTATTTTTGGCTTAGTGGAGTGTGTAACCTGAAGCATATGTAACCTGAAGCATATGTAACCCAAGGTACCACTGTAAAGGCAATTCCATACTCAGCAGGAATATTCCATTTTCGGGTCCCTGGTAAATCACTGTCCCTATTTTGCCATTTGGAATGCCTTATTAAAATGAAGGCAACACTTTTTCCTGTGCAGGAATAATGACATTATCTGCTGGAACACCAGGGTAATTGACAGACTTTCCTTCCTCTGGCAAGTGAACCAGATAATAAAGCTTTCAAGTTTGTTTGTTATAGATTAGTAAAGGAGACATCAGAGAACAAACAAAATAATCAAGTCAAGAGGCTAGATGCTTCTTTCCTTTTCTTTGTTCAGGTTCTTACTTCATTCTAAGAGGTTACATGGTAATGCTTCTCTGCAATGTTTGCATTTCTAATTAAAAGCTAAAGATTGCAGTAATGCTTTCGACAAACTCCCCCATGATATTCTTGCGAAGAAGCTGGGCTAGACAATCCTACCAATCTATTTTATCCTTACAACAACCCTGTGAAGTAGTTTAGGCTGAGAGATAGTGACTGGCCCATTGTCATTAATAATAATAATATTTTATTTATACCCTCCCTCCCCGGCTCAGGGTGGCTAACACCAAATATAAATTACAATAAAACGTAATAGAAAAAAACAAAAAGATTAAAATACGGCTTAAAATACAGCTTAAAATGCAGCCTCATTTTAGTAGTAGCCCATAAATCAAGACCATAAAGGGAGGAAACATCAGATATTCACCTGAGTCAGCTATCCATGCTGGTCAGCAAAAAAGCCAAGGGAAAATTTATATGCCAAATCCCATATAAAGGGTCAGAGTGAGTCTAAGCCGAAGGCCAGGCAGAACAGCTCCATCTTGCAGGCCCTGCAGAAAGATGTCAAATCCTGCAGGGCCCTGGTCTCTTGTGACAGAGCGTTCCACCAAGTCGGGGCCAGTGCTGAAAAGGCCCTGGTCCTAGCTGAGACCAATCTAACCTCCTTGAGGCTCGGGACCTCCAAAGTGTTGTTATTTATGGACCTTAAGGTCCTACACAGGGCATACCAGGAGAGGCGGTCCCGTAGGTATGAGGGTCCTAGGCCGCATAGTGCTTTAAAGGTCAAAACCAGACCTTAAACCTGACCCTATACTCCACCAGGAGCCAGTGCAGCTGGTAAAGCACTGGATGAATGTGATCCCACGGCAAGGACCCTGTAAGGAGCCTTGCAGTGGCATTCTGCACCCGCTGAAGTTTCTGGGGCAGCTTCAAGGGCAGCCCTGCATAGAGCGAGTTACAATAATCAAGCCTGGAGGTGACCGTCACATGGATCACCGTGGCCAGATCAGGGCAAGAAAGGTAAGGGACCAACTGCTTAATACAGCGGACATGGAAAAATGCCACTTTGCTGCAGCTGCAACCTGCGCCTCCATAGAAAGGGAGGCGTCAAAGGTTACACCCAAACTCTTGACAGAAGGCGCTGGCACTAATTGAGCTCCCGCAAGAGATGGGAGTTGGCCCCTCAACCCCATGTCGTCCCAACCCAGCCACAGCACCTCTGTCTTCGAATGATTTAACTTCAACCGGCTCCCATGCAGCCATCTAGCCACAGCTTCCAAGCATCTGGTCAGTGTGTCAGGGTGGCCGTCCATCAACAGATAAAGTTGGGTGAAGCTTATTGACTGTGTCAGGATTTGTTTTTGTTTTTTTTAATGATATCTATTGAAAAAAGAGTTGTTTTTTTAAAAAAATTACACAAAAGAAAAAACAAGACAGAAAAAGAAAAAGAGAAAGAAAAAAATAAAACCATCATTCTCCAATTCTCCACTTTCAATACCTTCTTTCCTTGACCTCCTCCTCCTCCCTTTTCCTGTATCCTGTTTTATAATAATCACAGCAAATCCTTTCCATAATTCGTAGTATTCTGTCATCACATTACCTTGATCTATTTTCATCTTATCTTATAGGAAACCTTAAAGTTTATAGGAAACCTTAAAGTTTAAAACTTAAATCTTAATCTTTACCAACTTCTCCTAAGCCATAACATTCTTACCTAATTCTTTAGACATTTTTATAAGAGCCAAATAGTTTCATTTCAACACTTTCCTAACATTCATCAATTTTGTAAGATAGTCCTAATGATAAAAATAAAAGAAAAAAGCAATCCAGTCTTCATCCAACGTCCCTTCCTCCTGGTCCCGGGTTTTGTCAGTCCGTTTTATCCTATTAATCTAGCACATTAACCTGGCAATCTTATATCCGAGGCCCTCAAGTCTCTTCCATGTCCCTTCCGTAACTCTTCTTTATATTTCCCTTTTAGTCATGGGAACTCCAGCTTGGTAGTGTTTTTGACCCATTTCAGCAAGACAGTCCCTTTTCCATAGTCCAGGATAGGCTCGATGTAGTATTTACAAGCATGCTCCAGATTCCCTTCAAAATTGAGAGCCCCCACAGCTCCAAACATCTGACGGCCCCTTTCCAGACTTGAAAAGTCCAAATCTCCCTGTAAAGGGGGGTCTATCCAACACCCATTTCCAAACCAAACCAGATTTTATCTTTCCAAGTCTGGTTTTTTCCAAGTTCATTTATCAAATCCAAAAGTTTATATTCCTGCTGGGCCGCAGCTCCCTCCGTCTCTGGCGCCCAAGATTCAGCAAGGTCCTCTTCTTTTAGTTGTTCTGTCATGGCACGCTCCTGTTTTGATTCCTGGGTGGGCTCCATATAGTTTCCCACTACCTGTTCAAAGGTTCTGGCCGCATTAGTCATGAAATCCGTCTTCTGACTTAACTGATCCAATAGGGCATTTATTTTACAGAAAGCACCCAACAGTGCTTCTGAAGACATTGTCTTACAAGGTCACAAATCCTTTCCCACAGTTGTAATCAGTGACAGCTGCAAGTTCCCAGGAATTAGTTACAATTTCACAGTTCCCCTCTAGGGGGAAAAACTTCTGGTTGTTCTTTTTCTTGAAAACAATAGCAACCAAGTTTCTTTTTTAAGATATTTTGTCCATATTTGTTCTTTTAAAAGATGAAAGGAAACAATGGAATCACAATGTTTCTCTTCTGTTAACTATCTGTCAAAGACATTTGTTTCTGGTCAATGAGCTTCAAACGTCAATTCTGACACCCCGCTCCAGGGTCAGGACGGTGGAAAATTACTTTGCTTTAGATTCAGTTCTGCAGGTTTAAACAGCTCAGAAAAGATCCCCCTTCTTCTCCTGCTACTGAAGGGGGGTTCAGCGATCTTAAATGATGAAAGTCGATCCTTTAAAAGTGATTTTTAAGGCTCTAGTTTGCGTTGTCTTTGCTTTGTTCTGACTACGAGGAAACGGAAGGGTGACTTCCTGTTTAAACCTTCCCGTTTCAGTACCAAATTAGGGTTAATTTTTAAGTCCAAATTCCTTTTTATTTCGCCAGTTCTTATTTAAAATCCAAATATCCAGTGTTCCAGTACTCACGGTTGGTTATTTCAAATGCCAAATTGTCCCAGGAAAAAGGCAGCGCTCTCCGGCAACGACTATGCGGCTTCGCTCCGCAGAAAAAGCAATTGACTCACAGCACCGCGCCACTTCCCCCTCTTCGCTTCGGAGCCCGCTTGTGGGCTCCTTTGTGGGTTGGGGGGCGCTAAGGGTGCCCGCCGAGTCCCACGGTCACAGGCCTCATCCGCCTGTGATTTCCAGAAGGGTCCCTGCTACGCCGCAGCGGAAAAGACCCGTTTCATGCGGAGCTAGTCCCTCCAATTCAGAGGGAGTCCGCCATTGCTGGTGGCGCCACCCCGGAAGTCCTTGACTGTGTCAGGATTTGAATCCTAGTCTCCCATGACCTAGTCAGATCCTGCAAGCTCTACCACATTTGACTTAATACCCTTTGGTATGAGGAAAAGCCATGTAATCATTTTGGGAATGGTGGAATATACATGCTTCCTTTTTAAAGTACTACACAACCCAAAATGGCTTCCGAAAAGAAAAGAAAAGAAAAAAGGGAGGGGGGAGCCAGTTCAAACCCAACCAGTATTTTGAAAGATGCAGACTAAAACAATTTATTGACATTGATTTCAGCTTAGCACTGTCAGTTTCAATTGTCTACAGCTCTTCTTACTAGAAGAAAGTTAGCCTCAGAGGTTTCACCCTGAAATGCAAAATTTAATTGTACATCTACACTACATTGAATACTGCTGTAGAAGTGCCATTATGAAAGTGTTATAATGTGTACATGTGGGCAAGCAAACATATATACTAATTTTGGATACAGACTACGAGAAAATGCAATCTTTTAAATTTCCTTCTTCATCAAATTTGGCATAAGCAGAAGGTAGAGTACATCTGCATGACCTGATTGGCTGAAGTGTCCTTCAATTTCATTATCAATTAATTGCCAATTTGCATTTAAAATGCAAATAGACCTTCTGCTTCAAGGCAAGATTACTCATATATAGTATACATGTTCTGATGTGGGTAGGTGAAAATATAAGCCCCATTTTCTTCAAAAGAATTTACTCCCAAGTAAATGTTCATAGAATTGCTGTCTTCTGCTGCGATCCTTTGCGTGCTTACTCCCAAATAAGTTCCACTGCCTTCAAGGGGGCTTTCTCTCAGGAAAGTGTGCATAAGAATGTGCCAAGACTACAATCATGAGCAGTGTATATTATTATTCACTTTTACCTAGGAGTACAGTAAGTGAAGTCAATGTGATTTACTTCTGAGTAAGTATGGATAGAATTTTGCTGATAGACACTTTACAGATAACTCGTTTATCAAATCTTGATGCAGGAGAGCCAGTGTGGTGTAGTGGTTAAGAGTGGTGGACTCGTAATCTGGGGAACTGGATTCGCGTCTCCGCTCCTCCACATGCAGCTGCTGGGTGACCTTGGGCTAGTCACACTTCTCTGAAGTCTCTCAGCCTCACTCACCTCACAGAGTGTTTGTTGTGGGGGAGGAGGGGAAAAGGAGATTGTTAGCCGCTTTGAGACTCCTTAGGGTAGTGATAAAGCGGGATATCAAATCCAAATCCAGTAATGTTTAAATAATCAGATCACAGGAAGCTACAAATGCAATCTTTCATAAGAATATACAGTGGTACCTTGGGTTACAGACGCTTCAGGTTACAGACGCTTCAGGTTACAGACTCTACTAACCCAGAAATAATACCTCGGGTTAAGAACTTTGCTTCAGGATGAGAACAGAAATCGTGCGGCAGCAGCAGTTGGAGGCCCCATTAGCTAAAGTAGTACCTCAGGTTAAGAACAGTTTCAGGTTAAGAACGGACCTCCAGAACGAATTAAGTTCTTAACCCAAGGTAACACTGTAGTCCATACACAAAACCCCACGTTTGCACATGAACATTGCCCAGTTTTATAGTCTTAGTACAGTATTATTTAATTTACCTGCTTTTACTGAAGGCCTGTAGTGTAGGGTTACCAGATGTCCCCGTTTCCCGGGGACAGTCCCCGGATTTGCGAGTCTGTCCCCAGACAAATTCCATCCCCGGAATGTCCCCGGATTTCATCTAATGTACCTGGGAAACATGGCAGTGGCAGTCTCAGCAGCCCGGAGCCAGCCTGTTAGTGCAGTTGGCTCTGGCTGGCTTCAGGAGCTGCTCGCTTCCATGGCACCAGCCATTTTGTCTCACCAGAAGTCCCCATATGATGGCGGTGCAGGGGCTCTAAAATGCAGCTTCCAGGCTGCCTCCACTTTCCCTGACCCCAGCAACTAAGCTGTGAAGGGAGACTTCACACTGCCTATGGAGCTTGTGTGCAAGCAGGAGGGGGCAGGGAACCCTCAGTTAGGCAATGGGAAGCCTCCCTTCCCAGCTGAGGGATCCCTGCCCCCTCCTGCTTGCACGCAAGTAGGAATGGGATTGGGGCTGCTCTGATGGGAAGGGAGGCATCACGCTGCCTGAGCCTCGCCGCTGCCACTCTTGGCCCTCCTTCTCCGCCTTCCATGCCTGACCCACCGCGCACCACTTCCCCACCACCACCGAAGAACCAACAACTCAGGGGCTGCCCAGGCCCATGGAGAAAGGAGATGGAAGCCTCGGAGGAAGGGAAAACGTGGCGGTTGAGGTCAAGGAGGTGGCCACCCCTCTGCCACCACCATTGCTGCAGCATCAACGTCCCAAACGTGTAGTATGTATTTGTCTGTCTGTCTGTCTGTCTGTCTGTCTGTCTGTTTGTTTGTTTGTTTGTTTAAAGTGTCCCCGGATTCATTAAAAAAAAATCTGGTAACCTTACTGTAGTGGTGGTGGGATGCAGTAGAGCTGGCCCAGCCATCAGACAGGGTGACCAAATTTGTGAGACATCTTGCAGATTGCGCAAGATCTCACATGATTTTCAGCAAGATCTCACCCAAAATGGCAGGACACGCAGCAGAGTGGGTAGTGGCGGTAGCAGGAATGGTGGTGGTGGGAACAGCAGCAGTGGCAGCACACTGTATAGCCTTTAAAAGACAATGGTGCCTTTAGATTCCAAGTTAGTTCTACTGAATTTTATTGAATTTGTCATGCAAGTTGGGGGGCAGAAACTGCTCAAGAAAAATTAAAGAAATAAACCCCAGTTGCTACAGAAATTCAAAGACAAAACAATCAGTCTATTTTATATTGCCATAGATTTCATGTACGCTGTTCTTAAAGGTTATTTATTCTGCTCCTTTTGCACCGAGAGATTTCTGGGCTTGATTTTCCCAGGCAATGGATTATAAAGTGCAGTCTGGATGTCCCTGGCCTCCTTTCAGGTAGTACTGTTATCTGTGAAGATCAGAAAAAAATCAAAACAGCAACCATCTAGTTTGGTGTCCCTTGTGGCGAGACACTCAAAGCTGGCCAGTGGAGGAATATGGACAGAACTGCTCTCTCAACATAGCTTCCACTCCCATGCAATCTATTAATTTCCCCTAGGAATGAACAAATATATCCTTCAGTTTTTCTCTAATTTTTGCAATCATAAGTTCAGCTCTTACATTTTCACATCAGTTTGTGGGGATTTTTTTAAAGTCATCAGAACTTTAATGAAAATTTCTCTCTATAAACATGTTTGCATGCAATTATATTTCACAAATATAAACATTTTTAGGCATGTCTACATGCATTTTTGTAGACATTACTTGCCTAGATAACGGCACTGCAAAAAAGTGTGAATGTCACTCTCCTATCCTGCTTCCCTATTCCCTGTAACATCATTCATGGAGCTTGAGGAGAGCATGTTCCCTGGAGATAAACTGTTTCCATATGAACTGGTCTTAGCCTCACTCTGGACACAGCTTTTAATAAACTGAGAGGGAGGCTAGGAACTGCACCTTTGGAAACAACTTGCAAACAGAGGACTTGCTTAGCTTAAGTTCAGTTCCATTAATATGGTGATTCTCTTCACCCAGCCTAGTAACTTTCCTATCTGCCTGCTTGCTCTTCTTTCCTTCTTCCTGTTCATATTCTTACTGCAGGAACTGCCTTTGCCTTTGGATGAACTTGTCAGCTAAGATCCTAGCCTATAGTTGGTCCTCCTGAGCACCTGTCCAGGTACTTCATCCAGCACCATTCCCAGTTCTACCTGGGCATACACTTTTGCTTCCTACATTCTTGACAGATCCCCAATACTACAAGCAAAATAACTGAGCCATGGGCCAAACCATACAGTAGTTTCTTTCGGCTATGTGTAAATAGGCACATTCTCATGTGGAGAAGAATTATTTATTTATATCATAACATTTATATACCGCTTGATCGTTACCCAAAAAAAACCCAAACCCAACAACCTCAAAGTGGTTTCCAAAAAGAATAAAGCAATAAAAATACAAGTAAAAACAGTTCAAAACAACTATTTAAAGCATTAAAAAAATAAAAATCAATGATAAACAAATTAAAATGCATAGCAACCTTCTACATATTGGGATAACAAGAACCAACAGAAGCAGATGACATCCAACATTCATTCCTAAATTACCAGTGACCTGAGAAAGTGCTGTTACAATCAAATTGTGGCTGTCTGTATGGAAATATCAAGTTCACACACCACACTTCTCAGCCTGAGCAGATGCACAAGGACAGTAGCACACAGAGAGGGGCCAGGGGGCAGGGGACTCATTATATATATAAGAAAAAAGTACTATGTGAACAATCCTGGTGTATTCTTTCCACTCATTAGTAAAAGGAAATCTATGGAGGACTCTTCAGAAGCATTATCTTATTTAGAGGTTAATTGCCATGCTGATCCCAGAGGATCACATGCACAAAGTAGGTAAGGTGATAATTTTATCTCTCTGCCTCCCCCCTGCCCCCCCATTTCCTCCAGAGGCCAATACAGAAAGAGGTAGATAGATATACAATCTCTCAAAGTATTTGCTGCCCCTTCACTTTGCCCAGCACTTTGCCCAGCCCTAGGGATCAGCTAGATTTATTGGCTTTGCTGAACTACTGGGAAAGAGGTGGGGTCTGTTCCTCTTTTGACTTAAGATCACCCACCTCCAGAGAAAGCAAGCTACACAACAAAGGGATGGTCGTCAACAAACCTGCTTATACTACCTTGCTGTTTTATATTATTTTTCCTGTAAGTTTGTGTTTTGCAGGGCCATCCCTACCATTAGGCAGAGGTGACCTCAGGCAGCAAAGGTTAGCAACCGTTGAAATGTTGAAGAACAGAGTTGTGTATACCACACGGACTACCCTGTGCCCTCAGCTGCCCTTGTTTGCAATAGAAGATTCTGTCCTGTCACCACTGCTGAAGTAAGAGTCAACTGCCCACTTCAATATATGGAATGGGTCACCATCTTGTTGTACTTTGCCTCAGGCAGCATGATGTCATGGGTCAGCTGTGGTGCTTTGTCTCCTCCTCCAGATACTAGTGCATCAATTGCTTCATTATTTCTTCCATGTCTTTTTAACTTTGTACCCAGTAGGGTATTTGGTTTAAAAAAAAGATTGTAGTACTAATATATTAATAAAAGTGTAATGGGTGCCAGCACAAAATGGCTGCCACAAACCGCCCCACAAAAGAAGTGCCAGTTCTCCATACCAGTGAGCACTGTCACAAAAATGTATTGCTTGTACCAGTCCTAGTCTAAATATAGTTTTTAAAAAGCAAGACCTTGCTGGGAGGACTTAGCCTTAGAAAGGCTCAAGGCTGTCATTGCCTGTATTAGATGTTGCAGGATGGAAGAGAGGAGGGAAATAAAATGAATAACCCTATGTGAAAAGCTGTTTACAACTGTGCAAGTTGAAAACTGAAATAGCTGTCAGCCTCTTTCTTTTTAACTTTTGCAACAATCAGTATAAAAACCTCACTTTGGATGGGTAGGGGATCCTTACCTTTCTGAGGCAGCAGTAACTTCCAGAAAACCCCGTTCTAATTTGGCTGGTGATGACTTCCAAAAAAGCATTCTGCTAGGCTGCATAGTCAAGAACTGTATTTATATATTTTTTAAATCCTGCTACAGCTGACTGTTCCATATTTGTTAGAAGAGTGAAAGTGTCCTGGTGTCACAGAGAACCCACAGAGCAAGACATTAAGGGCAGCTCCTAGCAAACAAGTTGTTCCAAAAGAAGTGAACTGAGGCTTTGAACCATCTCCCTCTAGCCAACCTCTCCTATGCTTCTCCTCCTTCTAGAGCAGGGGTAGGCAAACTAAGGCCCAGGGGCCAGATCCGACCCAGTTGCCTTCTAAATATGGCCCATGGACAGTCTGGGAATCAGCGTATTTTTACATGAGTAGAATGTGTGCTTTTATTTAAAATGCATCTCTGAGTTATTTGTGGGGCATAGGAATTCTTTCATTTTTTTTCTTTTTCAAAATACAGTCTGCCCACCTCCCAGGTCTGAAGGACAGTGGGCCAACCCACTACTGAAAAAGTTTGTTGACCCGTGTTCTAGAGAACAAGGATATTAAAGGGCCAGTCCTCTTGCCTGAAGATGGGGACCTCTCTTCTAATTCATGGCTTCCGTCCTGGTGTGTTCCCTGTGCAGTTGGACTGGTGGGGTGGGGTGTGAGGTGCTCGGTTCCTGAGACTCAAGGGAAGGCTCCCATGAGGGTCCTGCCTCAAGTTCCCTGGGCAGTGAGATCTGGTTTAGCAAACTCATGTGCATCAGCCTTGGATTCAGAGGTCCCCTGATCATTAGCAGCAGTGTAGAAAGCTAGTGTAGCTGCTTAGTCAATGACACTGTAGCTTCCACCTTGGTGTCCCAGTCACTGCTGGACTCCAGGGTCATGATAGAATGAAACTTATCAGCAAGCGTGCCTGACTTCCCATTAACTAGCAATGAGAACCTAGGCATCATTCTGCAGTGCAGTGCTAAATCCTGGAAATGTCTGAATTGGTAGTACACATCTGCTAACTGCAAACTCACTCCCCCAAACTGGTACTCACAAGCACTTCCTAAATAACTTGGAAGTGCTAGCATGTTTTTCTCCACAAATTCCAAATACATTATTAGCTGTTTGTGACTTCAAATATAAAGTTTTTTATTACGATGATGATATATAATGCCAACAACAGGTTGCACTGCTACACATTCCTTAAGGAAACAATTAATTCACTATGAAATTAGCTCTACTGCAGACTGGTACACAAACCTAACAGGAGATTTTCTCCAAGTGGTGTCCAGGGAATGCAACCTGGAAATTGAAATTAGGGAGCAAAAGTACAAAGCAAATGACAATCCCAAGGAGAAGAAAGTGAAGCAGAGAAACATTTTCTACTCCAGCATGCCACAGGAAAGAGCTTGGGAGTTGTGGGTGAGAGAGAATTCAATAGCTAGGTTTTTTAAGAGCCAACTAATATGGTATATGCACAAATAACTGCTCGTGTAAATGGTCTACTCACACAAGCATAACATACGTATAACATGTGAAGAGAGAATATGTGAGGTCATGGCTCCTCTTTCCACAAACAGGGAGCCACCACAGAAAAGGCCTGTTCTCCTCTTGCTGCCCTCTGGGTCTCTCATGGAAAGACATGAAGAAGGGTCTGAGTTAGTTCATATCGAAAGAGGTGGTCCTTGAGGTATTTCAGTCCTGGGCTGTTTAAGGCTTTATAGGTAAAAACCAGCACTTTGAATTGGGCCCGGAAACTAATTGGCAGCCAGTGCAGTCAGGCCAGGGTTGGTGTAATATGGTCCAACTGTTGTGCCTCGGTGAGCAACCTGGCCACTGAATTTTGCACCAGCTTTAAGAGAGTTAGTTTAAGTGAGGTAGTAAGCTCTATCTAGCTTCCTGACTGGTGTTTCCTCAAAGCACTCCATTATAATATTTACATATCATATGTGGAGGTGGGGGAATGGAGGCAAATGTCAATGAAGTACAAAAAGTGCTGTCCGTGATAATTCTACACAAAGCATTGTGGTTGTGGTGGTTGTTCTTTAAACAACTTATTTATTTAAAAGACCCCAAAAGCAGCTTCAATTTAAATGAGCTCCAATGTAACTGATAAAATACCATTTTTATATAAAAAGTATTACAACATCATCATTTTTTTTTGTAAGCTAGCTATGATAGCAGACAGTCAGACAGTGAAGAGGAAGGGGAGTGTTAGAATCTCTTCCATGTTAGATTTTCAAAACAGACAGTTCTATTCTGCATTGCAGGGGGTTGAACTAAATGACTCTTGGGGTCCCTTCCAACTGTAGAATTCTATGAATCTATGAAAATTCAGTGGGGATTCGTGCTTATTAGGACTGGTAGGGCAGAAGTCAGGGCGGCCAACTGTAGGTGGAATCATAGCAAATAGCTGGTAGAGCCAGCTAATTCTGCTTTTGTCCCCATCCTCCTCCCTGGGTTATCCAAAGGCAAAACTGAGTCTAAGGAACAGGAGGAGGAGGCTGACAGCCAGTGCCATCCCTGAGACTGGACGTAAGCAAGGAGTTAGGCAGGTGGAGGCTGACTGAAGGTAAACCGTTCTTGGCCTAAAAGACTCGGCTGCCCTGATTCTGTTAACAAAACTATATTGAAGAGAGAAAGAGAAAAGGAATACATCAATATTGCTATTTTGCTGACATGTAGTTGGAGAAATCCTTGGCCTGGACCTTTACAACATCCAAGCTCAACAGCTAAATACAGAAGCAGCTGAGAAGGATGCTGTTCAACAGGACTTAGGAATTATTATAATCCTCAGAAGAATGTTGTTTTTGAAAGAAACCAGTTCTTTTCTCATCCTCATTTAGCAGAAACCCAGATCAACAAATATGATTCATCACTGAGGCAGAAAGCAAGAAATTGGGAATTTGGGGACACAAAGATTACATGCTCCAGGACAAAATTGTGTTGAATGTGACTGATAGAAGACTAAAGGAGCAATTGCTAAGGGAATTGGGGCTGAGTTTATAAAGGACAATAGACATCTGCAATGCCTCTGAAGTCACACAAGCACAAATTGAGCTTATGGCTGGGTCACATGGTGACAGGCTTCTGCAGGCTGTAACACAGAAGAGGATTGCAAACACCAGGAGCAAAGCCAAGACACAGGAGAGGGGAGAGCAATACTACCATGCAAGCGACATTCCCCCAAACAGCAAGACACATTCACCCAGAACCTGCCCTCCCCTCAGAATGCTGTCTAGAAAATTAAATACTTTTGCTTGTATACAAAGGGCAAACAACCCACACAGAAGACATAGCCAAATCCCTGGCCTGGAGCCTGAACAATGCAGTTCACCAGGTGGGGAAAAAAGTTAATTCTGCTCAACCATGGTATTCCACCTTGACCATAAGGATGTTAACTACAAAGATTACTTGGTGGCTGGGGCCGAAGGCAGCATTTTGCCTGCATACAACACAGGAACACAACGAAGAGAGCCACATTGGGACCCATATGGAGAGCCACATTGCAGCCCAGGCCTGAGCTTCTCACCCCTGTTCTGCATAGGAGAATGTTGTGGATCATGCCCTGGTAGGGAATATTGCATTATGTCAAGACAAGAAACAGTTCATAGTAAAAAAACAAAAAAACAAAAACAGGTTAAGTATATGAGACCTATTATCTCAGAATAAGAGGTCAGACCAATGTCAGCAATAGCTAATCAATACAATAGCCAGACAATAAGAGACAGCGTAAAGGTTTCTGGGAACAAATGGTCTTCTCACAAAATATATATGGTGCAAATGAAGAATGCTTGCCTGCTGTAAGCGGTCAGGTGCAAAAGAGGGCAGGGCTCCTGCACCTTTAATGACAAGCATACTATCCCCTTGGATGGACTCTTTGAGATGGGTATTGTAGGCATTGTTTTACAGTGGTTCCACTCCTATCTACAGTGTGTGTCCAGAGAGTAGCATTGGGGAACTGTGTTACAGTGCCATGATCTGTGCACCATGGTGTACTGCAGGGTACCAACTTGTCTTCAGTGCTGTTTAACATCCATATGGGAGTCAGTTTTAGCAGCCCCCCATGACTTGGGTGCAAGGGTAATATCCACCAGAGGCCATGTGTTCAGTATTGTGGGCCCTATTTTATGGAACTCCCTTCTAGTTGAGATCAAAGAGCCTCCCTCTCTGCTGAATCCCCAGGGCCTTATGAAAACATTTTAATTGAAGTCTCATTTTATCATTTTAACCAGTTTCCATCTTTTATGTATTGCATTTTTTGTACACCACTTAGTGACGATTGTAGTTGAGAAGCATATAAATTGTTGAAACAAATAGATCAAAAAGTAACTTATGCTAGCTACAATTTTTGGCTCCTATGGCACCTGAACTTTATATCTACCATCTTTCACATTAAAGCACCTACCGCAAATATGTCAGAACTCTTCATCAGCCTTAGCAAGTAAGATGATCATGAATGATTGATTGGTTGGTTTTAATTTTTTCCAGAGGGGACTAATGATTTTGTAAGCTCATTAGTATGAGGGAGGCTTATTTTTAAAGCTTAGTACTGTCTGAAAAGCAGGTCAAACTTAAGGTACCATATTAGGATGCAAGACACATTGATAATCAGCATGCAGGAGCAATGTTTTGCGCACTTGGCTACAAACACTGAAGGGGCTGAAAGGATACAGATCATTAGGAGATCCCAACTCATTTCCCTCCATTGTGAGAATTGCCTGTTTACTCCTAGTCTCTGTTTCCTTGTTTAACCATTCACTGATCTAAGGATTAAATAGGTAATCACAGACACATCTTAAAATAAATGGAAGTATGAAGTTAGATACCCCAAGGATCTGTAGTAGGAGTGGTTTAATTAGTGCCTAAATGATCTGGATGTAGGCAACAAACTTGCAAGGTTGTGGATGGCACCCAATTATTCTGGATGGTGATGCAAAAAGCTCCAGAAGAATCTCTCCAAACGAGGTCATCCCATGAAACTGGCAATAGATTCAGGTCAGACAAAACAAAGTACATATTTCACAACACCTAATTAAGTTATGGCATTTTGTGTCACAAGATGCAAATGACGGCCCCTAGTTTAGATGCCTTTTAAATCCATGCCTCATTAGTCATGATGGCCATCTAGAACCTCCAGATTCAGAGGCAGCATGCCACTGGAGTCTCAGTATTAAACTCCCTTATTATTGAACACAGTGGTAACTACTTCTGAAAAAACAGGCAAAGAATTTTGCTTTCAGTAGCATTTCCTGGGGAACAACACTGCAAAATGATTTTATGTTCTGAAAATGTGACATACTTTAAGCCCCAGTTTCAAATGATACTCATGTAACATTGTTAATTCTTTGCTTTATGTATACAGCCATAGAACTGTACAGTTGGAAGGGACCATGAGGGTCATCCAGTCCAGCCCTTGCAATACAGGGATCTACTTCTCAATGTGGGGCTCAAACCCACAACCCTGAGATTAGGAGTCTCGTTTCTACCGATTGAGCCACCCCAGAACAGTTTGTTTAAAACAATGGTAAATTTAGTATAGTAGCCCACAACCTTGCTCCAACTCTGACTTAGTAAACCACTTTGTCAATGATATTGCACATGGTTGCTGTTTATAGGAGTGGAGCCATCCAGTAAGTAAACTGGAAATGATATCAGAAGCAACATATGTGTCTTCAGTAACTTTTCACATGTACAAAAGTTACTGTTAACTTTTTAGCTCATCTTGAGGGAGCACAACATTTCTCCAACCTGTGTTCTGTATTTAGTGTTATCTTCTTGGGCTGCCTGAAAACTAAGTAAGTGCGAGCAGATATTCAGATGCAAAAACAGACACTGACAGCATTGCTCTGTAGATCCCTGACCTAAATTAGGCACTGCATTCAAAAGATTCTTCTGCAATTCAAAAAGTTTTTAAAAAGTCAAGGCAACACTGTCCGCTAACATAGATGTCCAAGGGCATTAAAAAAAAAAAGTGGGCTAATGCTAAGAGAAGAGCATTCAGGAGCATTGTTCTGAGATAAAATGCCTGTGCCTGGCTTGCCTCATAGCTCGGGAGCTGTAATGCACAGTCTTGAAATATGTTCTTATATCACTGGAAAGCTATGCAAACATACTCTTTAACCAGTTTCTCTGTGACCTTTGCAGCACCGGGTGAACACAAATTCACGGGACAGGCTCTATAGATCCTTTCTAAAAATATAAATTCCGGTTTATACAAAAGCAGATTCATTGATCATTACTGGACACACATACATACACATGCCACACATACACTTCAAAAGAAAAACCATCACAGAGTATAGTCTTGAATGGGCTGTCTGTCAATTGACATTACAAAGTTACTCCATACCTTGACAAACATTAAGGGATCTCAGTAATCTGTATGAAGTGCTTAATATCTCCCATGATCAAATAGTGGCAATTGTGAAGTCATATGCTACAGCTGTTTCTAGAATGTCAATATGGTTTTTAAATGAATGCAGTAATTGGAAGTTGCTTTATCAGGATAATTGCCCATCTAGCTCAGAACTGTCTGCTCTGACTAGCAGTGACTGTCCAGGATTTGAAGGTCTTTTCTTTTATCTAGCTACCTGGCCATTTTTAAGTGAGATGCCAGGAGAACCTTTTCTACGTGCAAATTCTTCATGTGAAAACAAAGAATACCCAACAAATATATTTGAAACAAATGTAAAATTGAAATAAATATTAATACATAATATAAAGCTGTACTTCCTGGATCAATCACAATATACACAATCTGACACATGATCAGGATATTTTAAATATGTCAAAGACTTAACCTTCGTGGACTGCTGTAGGTTGCACTCCCATTGTAAAGTTGACTAACAATGAAAGAGGAGCCAGAAGAAGCAACACACTAAATAACAGGGGGATAGAGAGGATGGGGAGAGACTCAGAGAGATGAAATCTTAAGGATGCACAACAAACATTTTATGCAATATAAAAGAGTATCTGCATGTTTTTAGTGTCAATAGAAGCATTATAAATATGTTACTTTTTATTGATATTCAAATGAGATTAGATCATTTAATTATAGTGTATAATGGCTTTGATTATATTATGTAAAGTGTTCTAACTCATTTATTGTCCCCCTGAAAAAGAAATGGGCCAATAAAAATATTTGGGTTGTATCCAATGATACTTCTACTCAGAGTAGATCCATTGGAATTTATGGACATCACTAACAGGTTCAGCAATTTCAATGGGTCCACCCTGAATATAACGTAGTTGGATGCATTTTTGTGCACCGTTTTTTTGCCTAATGTAATGACATTGCAATTTTCCATGTCTCTGCTAGTCATGTAACTCCTTAGCACGATGCAGGGGAATATTGCATGCCTCACTTAAGTACTCCTGCACGGACAGAGAGAACAGTGGATTATTCCTATGCACCCTGCATCAAACCCATTTACCTTTATGAAACTGGCAATCTTTTTTTATTTTTAAAAAAATCCTTTAAAAATTCTTTGGCATATAGGCTTGTTGATTTATTTGTAACGTTTTCTATATCACCAGCATTAAGGAAAAACATAACAGTGATGAACAGCATATAATTAACAATAAAATTTCCTTCATACAACAAATACAAAACACATCACAAAATATAACTGACCATTAATTATTCAGGTAGGTAGCCATGTTGGTCTGACGCAGTTGAAATGAAAAATTAAAAAATAGTCCAGTAGCATCTTAGAGACCAACTAAGTTTGTTCTGGGTATAAGCTTTCGTGTGCATGCACACTTCTTCAGATACACTGAAACAGAAGTCACCAGACCCTTATATAGTGGGAGGGTGGGGTGGGGTTTTTCTTAGAAGGGTAGTAGGAGATGGGTGATTGACTCAATGGGTATGGTAAACCTGTTGACGACTGTTAACGACTGCAATTAGTCCTATAGGAAAAAGCAAGCGATAGTATGCAGATGACCAAAAATAGCTTTAGCATGTGTAATGAGTCTCATACTGTCCCTTGCTAGTCAAGCACAGCTTTCAGAAATCAACTCATTACCAGCACAGTCCAAGCTGCTCCCAGGGTGATTGTGTTTACAAGCTGGGCTGAAAATACATTTGTCTTTTCATGGGACAATCCCCTCATCTTTATTGTGCACTACAGCAGAAATCTGGGAAATGGAGGGGAGGGATCGTAACTGAAACAACTGAATTTAGGTGACTGAACTTTGTGTTGGATTGTGGCCTTCTGTTTTCTTCTAAAGCCTAAAAGTTCCATTATTTGTTTATTCAATGCAATGGTAGCATATGCCAGCCCATATAAAGTAAGACAGCACAACACCCAAGTCAAATTTACATCCCTCTGTTTCCAATGGCAACATGTTTTCTATACTCCCAAAGCAAGTCAGGAACAAGGGTAGACCAGAACTCTTTCCCATGAGTTGCAGTGTTTTGCATGGAGGAAACATTCGTGTGCAGGGAGCATTCATTTCTATGAACCCCCATTTATAGTCTTGAATGGTACAGCGCAGAGGTTACTATTTTAGCAAGAACTAGACCCAAGGCTTACCATAATCTCCCAAGTGTGTGCTTCAAGTTCCAGGTATGTGCCCCAGAACTGCAGGTGTTATATTCTCTACACTAAGTATGCAGATTGCAGATGTTTTCTGAGATGCTTTTGTGCCATACTGCAGTATGCAGATAACACAGTGCATTAAGATGGCGTGGTGATCTTTCCTGGCAATTTTACACATGTTATCTATCTCCTTAGCCCTCTCAAACTTTAAATATTTATATATATGCTCCTACATCACCACATACTCATTTATTCAAGTGGGCCACATTCCAATCAAGGCAAAAGCTATTTACATGGAATTGCACCTCTGCGGGGTTATGCAGGGCATAGAGAAGGAACATGCTGAGATAACTGCTCTGAAGGAGGAAAGTCCTGAAGGAAGCCAGGCAAAAGCAGGAAGCAAAGATGACAAGGATGAGGAAAAATAGAGGACTCAAGAATGAAAGCACTGACAAAAGGACACATGAGTTCGGGGAGCACAGAATGGCGTAACCTGAGAAGACTACAAAGGAACTGGAGGAGTAGGGGTGGGTGAAACTATCACTTTCAATTTCTCTCAATTTCTCTCTCCCCTCCCCCCAGCTTAAATTCAGTTCTCCACACTTCTGCATCAGTTTGCAATTTTTTTAAAAGGCCTTGTGAAAATTCATCTGCATTTTAGTGCAAACTTCTCCTAATACACACACTTTGTAGGCAGTTTTGCCTAATACGCACAATTGTGCCAAGCAATTGTTTCGTAATATAATGTATTTTGCACGTTATTTTCACTGCTATATATGCATTTCTATGCACACCTTAACCTACTACATGCATTTTTATACATGTTACTTGACTGGAAAATCTCATGGCAAAATTCAGTAAAGCGTGAATTTTGAAAAATGACAGTATTTCTATTTGCAAATTGTTTGGGGAAGTGAGAATTTGATAGGTTCACTTTTAAATGTGAAGTGAATCCATTTTCTCCCTCATCCCTACTGAAATGGCAAATGACAGCACAGTAACTCCACCTTCACTTTCAGTGGTCATTTCCCCCATCAGACCTCCATTTCCAACTTAATCACTGCTCCGCATTTCTCTGCCTCCTACCCACCATCCAGTCTTCCCAGCCCAAGCCCTGAAACAATCTCTTTCCTTCCCATTTACTGCTTCTTTCTGTAGCACAGAAGTCTCTTACATTCTGGATCACATTTATGAGCTTCCAGTCACGCCCTTATATAGCTCTGGAATTTGAGCACATGAACAGCCACCACAGAAGTGTCAGTGGGTGTCACAGTGGAGCTCTCTTACATGTGTCATGCACTTAAACCTTTTACCACAGAGACTCCTGTGGTTTTGAAATAAATTTTATGTGAAGTCACATGAACTCCAGAATGAAAACCATTGCTCCTCCTTTATCTACAACACATGCATTGTGGTGCTTGTAATGAGATAATTTAAGACAGGTTACAATTTCAGAATTAGTATTGTGGTCAATAATGCACGAAGGAGAGCAAATGCAGCTGGAATGTGATATGCCCAGACTGCCTTGCAGAGACAAACTCTGCAATTGTTACCCCATGTATCTTAAAAGCTTATTTTGTCTGACAAAATTGGACATGAAATCTGCAGAAGGGAACTTCACAAGTTCACCAATAAAGCATCACATTTTGAGAAGGCAGGCTTTGTAAATGCCCTTTTATATCCATCTGAGAAAAACAGATATCTCTTTTCTCTCTTTCTTCTTCTCCTCTTGAAAAAAAAATCTGAAATTTGATCAACAACATGAGGGGAGCCTGTTCCCTTGTAATGCTTATAGGAAGAAATGTTGGCTTAATTACTTTATTAGTCCACATTTATTTTATAATTATGGTGTCATGTTCAGTCTTTTCAACTGTTTTGTTTTCCAAAACACCCCAAGGCAAACGTTACATGCTGGGAACTAAATAATCTAGAAGCATGTTTCAGAATATGTTTTACGTTGAAAGACATTTACTAGGTAGCAACCCCTATTGAACATGGTGGAATCTTCTGCTGAGTAAAATGCATAAACAACCCATTTAGTGAGAATGAGTAAAAATGTTGGTGGTTGATGAGGGGAGTCCTCACTCCTTTTAAATGTTCCAACACCAAATTGCATTATTGCAGCTTCCACTGCCTCTGCAGCAGCGGTCGCCAGTGTGGCACATGCAGGCACCAATGTGCCTTCCAGTACCTTCTATGGTGCCTGTGAAAGTTCTCAGTATGTCCTCAAAACTCTCCAGTGTACAAGAGATGGCTATTCCTGATCAGTTATTTTTTACACTGGCTCAGCCTCTCCTGTATGGAACAAGCCCCTTTAACATATTCACATTTCATTGGATGCCAAGACTGGACACCCACCCAAGAGGTGCAAAGAGCTTTTAGCTGTGTGTCAGTGCAGCAGTGAATGGTCTAGGTGTCTTTTCCACATTGATGGGGGGCTGATAAGGGAACATATTCACACCATTTTGTGGCCCTGTCAACTTTTCTGCCCTTTTAGATAAGGCAGAAATTCTGTGTTATGCCACGTGCCCAATGGAGCCATTTTGTGTTATGCACACTCCCATGGCAGCCATTTTGTGACTGGTGCTCATGACATTTAAAAAAAAATTCCAAATGTGCCCACTGGCCCAAAAAGGTTGGTACCCATACTCTGCACCTTCTTTCACTTCTGGATTTGAAATTGAAAGACAGGTCATCACACCTTGTGGGGCACCTTTGGGACAGAAGGCTTAAAAGTGCCAGCAAATGAGAGCTGATCAATGTAATATAGTGCATAGGATGTAGACTAGAGCAAAATATAAAAAAGAGCAAATAGGCTGCTCTCTGCCATTATGTTTGAGTCCTTGAACTTGTAACCTTTTTGCTTAGTCTTTCCCTTGCCTCAGATTGAAATATTAGATGCCTTTATAAAGAAGAAGGATTTTTTTATTGCCACTTCTATCCTGTAATCTTTTAGGGTATGAGAAAGTTGTGATTATTTTTTAGTTGACCCCATTCCCTGCAGATGAAATTTACTTCAGCACAACAGCTAAAAGCCAGCGCTCTTAGTTCAAATCTCACATCTGCAGTGAAATTTGCAAACCACACTTCTGAGCCTCAACCCCAGACCCCCAAGTCTGCATTATGTGGATAAAAATACTGACTTATTGTCCAGGGTTGTTGTAATATATAAAGTGGACCAAACCAGAAAATATGTAAAATGCATGATTGCCTATAAATGTATTTTTTATAATAATAAAAAGCAGCCACGAGGGTCCCCTATCTGGATCAGGGCCACAGAATGGGGAAAGGAAGTTAATTCTCTTCCCCTGAGCTGTTTTTCCAACAGAAACATTGCACCCTGAAACTTCTATTTGCCTTAAGAGGGAAGCTCCTGTGTGAAATGCACCCTTTAAATGATTTAATGTCATTATTAACTTGAGTTAAACCAAAGTACATGGTCAGAATAATACACAGGGTTAGAATAAGTGTCTTGAATAATACTAATAAATGATAATAGTAATAAACCAAAGGTTGTATCCAATGTTAGCTTGACTCAGAGTAGTCCCATTGAAATTAATTGACATGGCTAACTTAAGTTCATTAATTTCAGCGGGTCAATTCTGAGCAAAGCATAGTTGGGTTCAGCCCAATGCCTAAATTAAATGGCCATTCATTGATTCCATCCTGCTGACAAATAATTTAATACTGGCACAATCCTAGGCATGCTTACTCAGAAAGAAGTCCCACTGTGTTCAAGGGAGCTTACTTCTTACTAGTAAGTCTGTTTTGAGTTTCAGCCTAATGCACTTTATTTCATAGTCAAATCAACCGTCATATTGTTACAGCAAGTTAATAAGAAATTGTCACAACATTCAGCACGTGTAATAATTAAAGTATGGTTTAGTAATGAAACCCCAGTTAGTTTGCATTTTGCGTATGGTCACATTCACATGAACAGTTGCTTAAGTGTAACAAACCCTCAACTGTTGTTAGTTCCTGTACTGGGCTAGTTCAAATATCATGAAAATGGGCATATACCATTTCAGAGTTCAGGAACAGGGAAATGTTTTTCTTTTTTAAATGCTGCTCAGTGTAAAAAAACTGAACATGGAAATCAAGAGTATAAGGGAGAAGCCTAAAGACAGACTTTCTGAGCTGCTAGCTTTCAAAATGCAGGAGAGTTTGATAAAGGGCACTATTTATTTTGTAGCTTTACACCCTTCAGTAAGCATTTCAAGGGGGGTTCATAAAGAAACAATCAACATAATAAAATAATTAAGCAGCAATCAAAAGAACAGCAGTATGAAAAGCAACATTATAAACACCATCTTAGTAGGTGTTAAAGTCTCAATAGACCAAGACCAATATTATAGATAGATAAATAGATAGATAGATAGATAGATAGATGATAGATACAGTGGTGCCTCGCAAGACGAAATTAATCCGTTCCGCGAGTGTCTTCGTCTAGCGGTTTTTTCGTCTTGCGAAGCAACCCTATTAGCGGCTTAGCGGATTAGCGCTATTAGCGGTTTAGCGGCTATTAAAGGCTTATCGGCTTAGCGGTTTAGCTGCTAAAAGGCTATTGGCGGCTTAGCGGCTTAGAAAAAAGGGGGGGGAAGCAAAAAAAATAATCTCAAGACTCGCAAGACATTTTCGTCTTGCGAAGCAAGCCCATAGGGAAATTCGTCCTGCGAAGCAACTCAAAAACGGAAAACCCTTTCGTCTAGCAGGTTTTCCGTCTTGCGAGGCATTCGTCTTGCGGGGCACCACTGTATAGATATAGATGATAGATATGCCATTCCTTCATCCACATTCTGAAGTGCTGTAGTCCTGGAGGACTTTACTATGTGAGTGCTCCCACCCCAATCAAAATATCTGAATTCAGATAGACTAAGAGAGGAATGAAAACAAGGAGGAAACAATACTGCTGGATCCCTTTTAAAGACAAGTACATATCCCTGTTCCTGAACCATAAAAATATATTTCAATTAGCCCTTCTTCAATACAACCTGTGGTACTTGGGGGGAAAAGCACAGAAGGTGATTACTCATTTTGGGAACATCTGTATATATGTGGGGTTTTGGGGTTTTTTTAGCATTACAGAGCAATTTATTCGACCTTAAATAGTTTAAACGGAGTTGCCACTAGAGGAAAAGCTCTGCTAGAACCAATTAGAGGAGCCCCTTAGACAGTTGCCTAACCTAAATAAAACTTCTATCTCGAAGCTTGCCATCTTTTTTAAAAAAACAATCCTTTTACGGTGAGTTGAGTGCAGAATGCCCCTGAATACATGCATGCATCAGTGTTACTATTCAGCCATGATTTCAGAAGGACCAAAATGAGCACAGAAGTACAGCTGCAGTTCACTTATAACTCCAGCATGGTTATAAAGCTGCTTTTTATGTAGGACACTTTGGGTCAGGGAACATATTTGTCATTTCCTTATGCTCCTGTCCCACAACTGATCTTTGTATTTCGCCTTTTCCATTCTGTTGTGCGAAAACAGAAAAAGAAAGAAATACAATGACAGTAGCTAAGGGTGCTTCCAAACAACATATTTATTGAGCATTCATGCTGATTTGTTTGCATGGAGATGAGGCAACGTTGGCTATTAAATGAGCACTTGTTCTGATTTGTGTGCCGGTTAAATGATGTTGCACCAAAGCTTTATTATCGTACATTTTCCTGTGCATTTCCCATCACTTTCCTTATTGTTCAATCTTTTGAGGAACTGGATTTGTTGCACAAGATCTCCCAAGCAACTATAATTCTGCAGCCTGAATTTGTGTTTGAATCCTACCCCCAAACAACCGCAGTCTGGAAATGTTGTCTTATAGCACAAGATGACTTGACACTAGGGTAGCCAGGTATACATTTCCAAAGAAGAGGACAGTGATTTGCATAACAATTTGCACGTGCTAATTTATATGTCTACATGTACATTTAGAAACAATTGCTATGATTTAAATAGAAACAGAATACATCTCACCATAGCAGGGAACAAGACTGTGACCTGGTGACCTCTGTGTCTGCCTACTCAGTTCACTGCTCAAGTGGCAAACTGTGGATGAGCAACTTCAAGACCCCTCCTGCTCTCCCTCCTTATGGTTCTTTATCTTTAAACCAGACTCGGAGTAGACAGCCCTTCATATACACAGGATGGGTCTCTGTAAAGGAGGACACTCAACCACCTTAACTGATGTAGAGATGCAGAGGATGGGACTCCATTAACCCTTTTCTGTTGTGGTTCTCCAGCACCAAAGACCACAGCAATAATTTATACACAACCCCTCTTGCCCTTTCCCTGTCCATCTGCTGTTTGCCCACCATCACCTTCCTGGGAATCATGCATTCTAATTTTTAAACTCCCAAATGCTAATGTTACAGTTTGAGGGTAAAGACTAAGTACCGTAATCATTGGCTATAGAATTATAGCAAAGACTGTTTGTTTGTTTGTTTTTGTTTGTTTGTTTGTTTGTTTGTTTGTTTTTAAATTTATGTACCACCCTTCATCCAAGGATCACAGGGTGGTTTGCAATATAAAAACGCAGAAATACATAACATAGAAACGAACAAAAATGATAACTCCCCTACGCACACACAGTTTAAAAGACCATCAATTGTTTAATTAGCCAAAGGTTTGGGAGAAGAGGAATGTTTTTCTCCTGGAGTCTAAAGATGTGGAATGAAGGAGTCAGGCAAGCCTTCCAGGAGAGAGCATTCAAAAAATGAGGAGCCACTGCAGAAAAGGCCCACTCTCGTACCTCCACCCTCCAGACCGCTCATGGAGGAGGCACACAAAGAAGGGCCTCAGATGATGATTGCAGGATCTGAATCAGTTCCTATAAGAAGAGGCCATTCTTGAGGTATTGCGGTTCTGAGCCGTTTAAGGCGCTATAGGTCAAAAGCAGTACGTTGAATTGGGCCTGGAAACTAATTGTCAGCCAGTGCAGTCAGGCCAGAATCGGTGTAACATGCTCAAACCGTCTTGCCCCAGTGAGCAACCTGGCCGCTGAATTCTGCACCAGCCTCAGTTTCCAAACTGTCTTCAGAGGCAGCCCCATGTATAACGTGTTGCAGTAATTTTGTTCTCCAGCACATTTACAATCAGCAAGCAAGCAAAATTCAAAGGGTTGCTTTTGGATATATATTCAAGATTAACTGCAACAAAAACACAAAGCAGCACCTGTTGGTTATTACTTTTAATTCCTCCTTACAACCAGTGATAGAGGGGGACCTCTTAAATGGCTGCACCTGAGGGTACTTAGAAGTGCAACACAATCTTTACTCAAAACACACATATTTACTCAAAAGTAAAGCCCACTGTGTTCAATTGAGTTTACTCTGAGGTCAGTGTGCATATGAGCCCAGCATTTACAAAACTAAAAATATATGTCCTCACAATTAGATGCATAAACATCATCTAACTTCATAACCCTAACCTCAATCCAATAAATTCTTAAATTTAGGGGCAAATTTAATTTCAAATATATATCACACCGCATGATTTTTAATCACAGCAACTCAAAACAAAAACCACAATTTAAGATGAGAGATTATCAGCATAATTTCTGAGAAGTCACTTCCATCCCAAACACTAAACGTCTGCGATTAATACTGCAACAATGTCATAATGGTGCTTGGATACTGCTATGTCATAATATGCGATGTAATCAGAATGATGTAGCTGTACTTCACAAGCGAATAGCAGAGAACCTGCACAAGCGATGCTGACACGAAACCCCACACATATATTAAGTAAAATAGAAACATCGCCACCCGACCCCACCCCCACTCGCCTTTCCCCCCTCTACCTCTCTCCCCATTTTCTTCCTAATGTAACACTAATGTCTCAACAAATGAAACTGATCTGTAAAAATGTTACTTGGAATAATTTTTTTAAAAAAAGAATCATGTAGCTGTACTTATGCTCCACCCTAACAATTTTCATGCTGGTGAAGCACACTTTAAGACTGGATTGTAAAAATGTCCAACGTCAAGTTGTCGAGCTGAACATAGGAAAGAAATAGCGAGAGTGAATTAATGGGTAGATGGATTTCTAGTGAGCTTGTGTTGTAACAGGATGAAACAAAAGTCAACCATAAATTATGAACTTTGGGGAAATGCACTGGTAATTTTTACATATGAAATTAAGGCCTAAAATCTTTCACTCTTTAAAGGCTGGCTTCTCCTCTGCTAGGAATATATTACCGGTACTTGTTTACAAAGACTTATAGAAGAGGGGAGAGTAACCTGATGTGTAGCATCCTGACTAAATCCCTTTATGTAACATAGTTAAGAAAGTTATTTGGGGACTGGGGTGCAGGGAAGACTGATGAGGAACAATTTCAATAAAAAGTGGGAGGGGGGAGAGACCACAAGATGACCTAGTTTTGAATACGTCCCAAAAAGCCCTAGTTCTGGTAGCATAAGAAACCAGTCGTAATCTGCTGAAATGGCATAACATAAGCAAAAACCAAAAGTGAACAGAAAGCATTCCAGGTGTTTTTGCATAAATCGTTTAGAGGATCTTGTCTATGAAGAATAGAGAGTCCTGCCTTTGGCGTAGATCATTTATTAATATAGGATGGGCAAGTATCGGTAAGCAGTCTCTCCTGACAATCAGGACACATCTACACTGAAAATGTATGCAAGCTTTCTATCACTTTTAACTGTAATTGCTCCCCATCATGACCAAGGATTTCTGGAGCGCAGTTTGATGAGGTTGTTGATAATTTGTTTGGAGATCCCTAGCACCTATCACCTCTCACAGAACTGCAGTCCCCCGGATTCCCAATTACTTAGGTTTTTTTTACTCCTTAGCCCTGTAGCACCACCTTCTGGCAGAGGTAGAATCCTCACAGCACCATTCATCACCATGCCCCTCTTCATAATCCTGTCGTGAAATAACTGAAAGGCTCATTGCTGAACTCTTGGGCCAGCATGTTTCCCCAGATAACAGCCCCTCTCTCTGTCAACATGATATAGCCAGCACCATGTACTGACAAGCTCTGAAGCACACCTGAAATTATAGTTTGTAACTCAAATGGGTCAGCTGACCTCCAGGCACTCCATACTGTGTATAGAGGATTGCAAATCAAGATCCCTCCTCCCTAATTAATCCACTCTGTAGTTTTACCAGTGCAAAGTGTTCACAATAAAATACCTTACAGATACCTATCTGAGTTGATTCTGAATCCCACATGCACTTTAAATATGATGTAGCTAGTTGTAAAAGCTTTTTCTTGTACGTCCTCAATCATCCAGCACAAAAAACACATATATTCTAAAAAGACATATGCTCAACAGTCAAAAGTAATTATTTCCACCACCCCACCCCCCGAAAATATTGTTTATTAGGTGGGACAATTAAACATGCAGAAGGATTATTTTTATTTTTTAAAAAAATAGTAACAGCTCAGACAACTCCTCTTTTTCCCTGCAATAAATGAGGAATAGAAATTGTACTGGGTCCTGCTAAATCCAAATATTAATAACATTTCTGTCTGTAAGCTATAGAATGAGAATGCTTTTTTAAGTTTTAGTGTCACAACTTTATTTGTTTTATAATTGTATATTTTATTGTTGTAACCCATTCTGGGACCCTATGGTAAAGTGTAGGAAAGAAAAAAATATTAAATAAAAAGAACAATGTAAAAAGAACACATATTTTTATAATTAAGAAACTAAGTGGTGTGGATGGATCACAACAAAACTCTCCTGTTTGTATTATATAGTTTCCAGTGCCTTATCATGTGGCTTGCTGACTCCCTAAGTTCCAGTTCAGAAAGTCAGGTAAATTAGTTGGTTGGTATGAGCACAACAATAAAGGACAGGTGAGGCCTACTCCAATTCATCTTATCCAAAGTTATCACACAGGTTATCATGTGTGTGTGCGTGTGTGCTAAGAATTCATTTCTGTGCTGGAAACTGCTGGGGAAATGTTACCTGAGAAATTCTAGTCCCCTGAAATTAGACTTTTCCAATGCAAAGATGGGCAGCCAGATTCTCCCTCTACAATAATCTTTCTAATCCTTTCCTTTCAACACTTTTGCTCTAATTATACCGCTCTATCCCAGGATTAGTGTGTTGTAAATTTTGTTCTTCGCCATCATCACCGCAAACCAATACATAGTTTGGGCTACAAAATCTATGGAGACCATCCTTATAAAACCTAAGGACTGAGACCTTGGGAGGAAAAAGGTAGCAAACTTGTGACGAATAACTGTATTGTTTAAAATCAGGCAAAGGGTGATTAGTGAGGATGGAAGTTTTCAAAAAGACCTTCAAGAAATGAAACGTTTACAGATGGTTCTTTATTTGTGATCATTTTCGGGTTTAACCCTCATGTCATGTTATTGGGGGGGGGTGTCAAATAAACACAAATTATTATAGTGTTCCTCCCACCACAAAATGTGGAGTTTCACTGCAAAAGTGTTGCCTTTTGCCTGGGAGCAACAAGAAATTAATCTGCAGCAAGAAAGGAAGGATGGCAACCCTGCTCTCTCTATATTATATAATCACTGCAGCTGGTAAGTAGGGAGCTGGATTCAGGTTGCCATAGCATTTGGCATATTGCTATGGAGGCCGAGCTTTGGTCCACTTATCAGTAGCGTTGTCAGCAGCAAAGCACAAAGCACACACATACTAGTGCGTGACAGAAGCACATGGCTAAGAGGACAAAAGCAAAACAGGGCACAAGATGCAATCACCTTTTTGGGGTACTTGTTATGGTATGGTGATGACAAAAAAAAATCTTTTCAGGTCAGTGTATTACAAGATTTTGACCACTGGAACTTTTTAAAAATCTACACACACACACAAGTGTGCCACAATCAAATGCACACTTTTATATACGTAGATTTCACTCTCTCCTTAAGAATGGCCCAGGTGTAAAAAGAGCTAGGGCTTCTGCCCTTTTAAGAAATGTGGAGAAGGAATGTAGGAGCTAAAGCTTTCTGGTATGTCACACCTGCTGAGATTCCCTGTTTAACACTATTATAAAAAGGTGCAGGTGTCCTGAACTCTCCCCCCCCCACCTGGACACCCTTCTGCCACTAACAGTGAAATCCCATATAAATCTACTCAAAAGTAAGCTCAGCAAGTTGAATCAAGAGGACCCCAAGTAAGCGGATATAGGATTGCAGCCTAAATCCCTTTAGGGCTAAGCAAGCAAAGAAAGAGTTCAAGCACATATATTTCCCACTTTGAAAGAATAAGTATCTGAGCCATTGGTTCAGTGCTGTCAACTCCAACTGCCTTTCCTATCTTTGGTACCTTGAGATCCCTATACTTGAAAGAAAACTAAACTGGAGATACTCTGGATTGATCTATTTCCACATGGAGATAACTGCTTGCTTCCTACCCTATGACACACAGTGCCAAGAATCTCAACACTCTGGTGCTACTGGGTGAGATGAGAGGAGCAATGACAGGTGGTAAGAGGAAAGGTAAGGGGCAGCCTGCCTTATCAGGGAGTGCAGAGAAGATGGAAAGAACAAGGGTCTTAAGGACATGCATGTGCACAAGCACACACACACACACAGCTGCCAGCAGACTTCTCTCTACTAAGACAATGATGATGGGTTTCTTTGGTACATCTATCTAAGCAAGAGGGGTGGGGTTGGAACCACCCAGTAGAAGCTAACCAGAAGGGTCCAAATCACAACCCCTTTGGAGGGGACTGCCAGGAGACAATAGTAACTTGGAGAGTTAAAAGAAAAGAAAAAAAAGTTATCTCCCGACCACCCTTGTTGATTTGGTCCCACAAGCTGCTCTTAAAAGCACCTCCAGGGATGTTTGGCTTGGATGGCCACAGAAAAGGAAGGGTCTTCCATATTTTCAATGTTTAAAAAGCAATCACCACCACAACAGGAGGTCTCCCTCTTTTGGGGTATATAACATGTACGTAACACACATACTCAGCAGCCCTCCTGTGTCTGTCTGGCGTCAGGATTTGCCTTCTACCTATGAAAAGGAGGCCACAGTGCTCTGAGTGATGGGTGGCAGAGAATAGCAGAGGGAGGAGGTAAAGAGTCTCCAACAGCGCAGTCATATATTTAAGTCTCATCGAGTTCAATGGGGCTTACTCACAAGTAACTGGGTATAGGTTGGTTGGCAGCCTAGGCGGCCCTCTCTTGGGCAAGGAATTTCGAGACGTTGCAATTAGGTTCCAATTAATGAGGTGGGAAAGACATCGATAGCTTTGCTTCCCAACTGTTGAGGCATTGCTACCCCAGATATCCCTAAGAATGTTCCACTTCCTCTACTAACAGCGCAAGACTATGCGGACCTACTTGGAAGTAAACTCCACTGCATTCAATTGTGGGTAAGTGGGTACGTAGGACTGCAGACGGCCACCACACAGCCCTTTCCTTTGGAGTTGAACTTAGTGGAAGTTACTTCCGAGCAAACATGCACTGGATCGGGCTGCAAAATCCTGAAGGGAATGGGGATTGGGAGGGGCCCCGAAAATGACCCCAACTCCCCCATGCTTCCAAAAACATGGTAGTTTTTTTAATATGAGGAAGGTTAGCCCGCCCTGGAAGAAGCAACGACGACGAGAACTGAAGCAACAACCCTCGGTCTTGCAAACTCCTGGACGTCCCTCCTGCCAGCTCCACACGCTCTTCCACCACCAGAAAGCAACTTTGCCTTGCTTAATATTGCTGGCCAAGGATAAGGCTGGGGGAGAAAAAGCGTGGGGGGTTGCTTGGTGGGCTTGTTTTGTTTCCCGCGACCACCAGCCTTGACAAGATCACTGCATCAGATCTCTCCTCATGTCACCCGCGGTCCCATCTGCGTGGTGGCGGCGGAGGACCATCTCCCACCACCCCTTCCCCTCCCGCTCTTCACGTTGCTTTCTCCAGCATCTTCAGAAGAAGGAAAGGACAGTAAGGGGGAGAGGGGGGAGGAGAGGGAGACGGAGGGAGGGGGGAGACAACCTCTATCCAGAGACCCCCCAGTCTTACCTTGGTGGTTTTCTTCTGGGATGTACATCCTCTTGTTTTCATTGACCATTTAAGTAGAGGAACGAGGAGCACCCCCCAAAAAAACAACCCAAGCAGGAGTCCAGGGTTTTAATTCCTCCAAATCCAAAAGAAAGAAAAAAAAGAAAAGAAAAAGCAACAGCAGATGGGGTGAACAGTTCACGGAAGAAACCGGAGCTTCTGCGACGATTAAAATTCCCCCGTTCGGTTATTACCTGATTCCCATGATTGCATCAAAGCCCAAAAACTGATCCTTTCCACTACTGCCTCCTTTAGTGCAATTGCAAAGCATCCTCAGAGAACATCCGGGACCCTGCCAAAGAATTGAGCCCAGCACCTCTGGCCGCTGCTCACACCGTCGAGAAGCGGCAGAAGGAGAAGCGGCTCCTTTAGATCTTTATTGTTTGTTTGTTTTAAAAAGAGGAGACGGTGGGGGGAGAGGAGAAAAGATCAGCAAGGGAAAGGAAGGTGGGAGAAAACAGCCGAGGGCAGGGGAGGGGGGACACTCATAAGCATCCAAGAAGGGTGCTGGAGCGGGGTGGGGGGGGGGTGGGAAGAGAGAATATCTCAGGAGGGTTCAAGTGTCTTTCTTGCTTAGATCCACCAACTAGGAGAGGGAAGCAAGCGGGGCTGAGAGAAAAAGGCGACCTCGAAGAGCTGTTCCAAGGCGGCTGCTTCTCCTCTTCGAAGCCAATTCCGCGCGCTCTGTTGGCAGGGAGCTGTTTCTGCAGAGAGAGCGAGAGAGCGCTAGTCCCAGCCCCTCACTCCCTCCCCTCCCTCAGCAGAAGACTCGCTCCCGCTTCTCTCCCCCTCCCCTCCTTCCTCCTTTAGACAGACAGACAGACATCATGAACACTTCCAGATGTTCCAGCTGCGGCGGCGGCGGCGGCAGCAGCAAGCCCCTCCCCTCGCTTTTTTTAGGAGCCGGAGGACTTGATCTGAAAGTTTAACATGCCTCCCTCTGCCCCTCGCTCCCCTCCCCTCGGCTCACTGCGCCTGGCGGTGGGTTTTTGCCGCTGCCGCTGCTGAAACCTTTTCTACAGACATGACGTCAAGAAGGCAAGCTGAATCTGGCTTGCATGGAGAAAAAAAAGTGGGGAGGGGGGATCGTGGTAGGTAAAATGGGGGTTTACGTTTTTTTTCAAAAAAGTAACAGACGGTTAGAAGGTTCCCCAACGAAGCAGGTCGCCTCTCTTCTCCGCTCTAGCAACCCTGACACACACCAACCACATCGACCCCCTCCGTGCGATTTGTCAATATTGTGCTCTCTCTTTAAAAAAAAAAAGCCTGCAATTTTCCAGCGCTGAAATTTATCTGTGATCTGCATGTTAAAGAAGGGACAAAATAATGTTGTTAGAATCTGTAGCAGCTTTATTAGAGCGGCGTGTTTTGTTTTGTTTTTAGGGGCGGGGTTGAACACACACACACACGCACCCAATGACAATAAATCATCACAATAGCAATAAAAGGGTTGCTGGTGTGTTGCATTTGATCAGTTGTTGCCGAGAAGCTTGGTGTACACCTACACACACACACACACAGAGAGAGAGAGAGAGAGAGAGAGCGCTAACAGAGGCGAGAGAGGAGGCACAGATGTTGAAACGGATTAACTGAGCCGAGATTTTCCAAATCCACAGTAGACACACCGGAAAAAGAATAATAAAAACCTGAGGTTGGAAGGAGAGATGGAGGGGACGTTCCTCCCCTCCACCCAGCGTTCCACCTCCATCCTGCCTGTCGCTGGGGTGGGAGTCCGCTCTCTTTAGGCGTCCCCACCTTTCCCAAAGCAGCCGAGATGCTGATGGCTCCTGGCCAGCCCGCTGGGAAGCCAGGCAGGCAGGCAGCGCGTGTGTGGCGCGCCTTATCTGGGGCTCTCGCAGGGCTGCCATGTTAAACAAGCGGTGCAGAGTGGATCGTGCCGTGTGTGTGTGTCTCTACGTACACTGCACGTCCCCCTTTATCCAGGCATGCCGCCACCTCTCCATCGCAGCGATCTGAGAAGCTAATCGGGTCTGAGTTGCGCACTTGGGGGGTTGCTGGCTAGCGGAGCGCCGCGATTCTCCAAGAAGCCGGCGAGGCGCGTTGAGCTCCCGGCTTTGATATGTGTTTACTCGGAAGCAAGACGCGCGGAACGCCCTGTTCCCTATGTTCCCATCCCAATGCACGCGCGTTGCGTCCGGGCTGCGCGCTTACGCATGAGTAAGCCCCGCAGAATTCAGTGGGATTTGCTCCCCAGCAGTGCGGAAGGGCAGGCCGCTAACCAACGGCTAAAATCCAGGCTTACAGAGCGCGATTCGTTGCTAGAGGCGCAGCAGGAGTAGCTCCTTGGTTCGCTCGCCTTTGCGAACAGATCCGCTCCTGACACGCTTATTCGCTGCACCGCGAGAGGGTCTGCAATGCGAATAAGGTTTAGGGTTGGAGGGTCTTCTCAGCCACTGGGCGGTGGGAGGCTGGGGGCGGGACAAGCGGGAGAACTGAGGGGCTCGTGGCGAAGGCGGCAACGCGCGAACTTTTCGCGGCGAAGTTTGCTAGAAAAAGTCCCTTTGCCTTGAATACTTCGCAGCAGACATCTTCGGGAACAGGGCGGCGACGGGAGAGCGAAGCAGTTTTAAAAGCGTAGCGGTACATTACTGTGAACGACACACAGCCAACAACAGGTTGGGGAAGAGGAGAAAACAAATCTCAAAAGGAAATTAACAGCACTTAGTTGTCCAAATGCCCCTCCTACCGCCGCCATTCGCGGTACAGCTGCTCAATTTTTAATCCCATCACAAGTGTGATCACAACACTTTCTCTGTCGTGTTGTCCTAGCAGGCTTTCCAAGTGTTAGCAATTGGCCAGAAGGTAGTGCTTTTGAAATAGGCAGGCTCTTCTTGATATGAGTGAGAGATGGAGGATTAAAGCATTAACTGATTTGTCACTACCAGAATCTGGTACCTGCTGCTAAAAATCCATCTGCTCTGTTCGAAATCCGGAGGGTTACAAGTTCCTGGATTTGACAAAAGAGTGTGAGTAGTCCAGGATATTTAGGGGATGTGTTTGAATGAGAGCTAAATGGTTAAAGAAAGGAATTCCTTGAGTGGAACAGAGTTAGACTTCCCACCATCCCAGACAATGAACATTTAATCTAGGTATGAAGGGGACAACAGAGGACAAGATGGTTGGACAATGTTCTCAAAACTACCAACATGAATTTGATGAAACTGCGGGAGGTAGAGGAAGACAGGAGTGCCTGGCATGCTCTGGTCCATGGGGTCACGAAGAATCGGACATGACTAAACAACAAAATCCCTGCCTGGACAGAAAAAAATAACATGTTTGGCATCTGCCTGGCTACTGTAAGCACAGGATGCTGGACTGAATGGGCCTTTGGTATGATCCAGCAGAGCTCTTCTTAAAGCTAAAGGTAAAGGGACCCTTGACCATTAAGTCCAGTTGTGGACGACTCTGGGGTTGCGGCGCTCATCTTGCTTTACTAATCGAGGGAGCCGGTGTTTGTCTGCAGACAGCTTCCTGGTCATGTGGCCAGCATGACTAAGCCGCTAACCAGAAGGTCAGCAGTTTGAATCCCCACGATGGGGTGAGCTCTTCTTAAAGGTAAAGGTAAAGGGACCCCTGACCATTAGGTCCAGTTGTGACCGACTCTGGGGTTGCGGCACTCATCTCACTTTATTGGCCGAGGGCGTACAACTTCCGGGTCATGTGGCCAGAATGACTAAGCCACTTCTGGCGAACCAGAGCAGTTACTGCAATTCTTACGTTATTCCACAATTGGCTTTAATCTTTGTTAAAACACCAGTTTCACTGCAGGTGCCATATTTAATATCATGTGTGGTTAATACTTTTAACTCTGTAAATTAACAGCATTAAAGGATACACTTTGTGGAGCTCTGATGTGGGATGGCATATTTGGATGTATGATGGAGTGTTTAAACTGTGGCTTCATCCAGGGCTGACCCTCCCATGGGGCAAGGTGAGGCTGTTGCCTCAGGTGGCAGGATCCACAGGGGCAGCAGATCCAGGTGTAGAACTTTCTTCCCCCCCTTGTTCCCAATGTAGATCTTCACTCACCCCTTTTTCCCTGGCGGGGAGGGAGGCACCATTTTGCATTTTCCCACAGGTGCAAAAATGTATTGGCCAGGCCTCTTTCTATGCTCAACCTTTACCCATCTGTCTATATTGAAAACCCTCAAACATTACCCTCAAACAGTAATATGCCTTTCTTCCAAAGAAAGCAAACCTGTACCCCTGGAACATCTCGCTGCTTGGAGTGGGGGCAGGCATAACAATATGAAATGTGGGAAACTCTCTCCAGTTTCTTAGAGCTAGCTACATTCCCTGGCTCCCTGTTTTCTGGCTTCCACATTTATTCATTATGCACATACTTCCTACCAAGAACCCACCATTTCTTCCTGACCTTAAACCTTCTGCAGTAATTTATTCCAGCTCTTCATTCTCCCTGGCTTCCCCTTTCCGCAGATCCCTACTTCTTCTAAATCTCTTCCCTCAATCCTCTGCCTTTCCTCTTCCACCATTTATGCCATTTGAATTCATATGGTTTTTATCTGGAATGGAAGCTGCTCTGAAAAGGTTTTATATGTGAATAAAAGAATATGAAATACTACCCCCCAAAAAGCACCCTCACTTGGGTCTCTGCTTCTTAAACTGCTATTTATTCTGTTACTCCTGCCTGCTCTTCCCCATTGCTTCTTTGCTCAGCACTTCCACTCTTCCTATCCTTTCCTACCTACCCATCAAGGTATTTTGCCGCCCTGAATAGTTGCAATGTACACTCAGAAACCTCCCCCCAGGATCATGAACTTAAGCAGGATGGTGGTTGTAATGATGATCTGATGACAATTCTCTAAGGGTATACACATGGCCTTAGAGTCAGAAAACTGTTACCATCCTGATCACTAAAAAGGCACAGCTTCCTATGAGGCAGTAACAGTCACATGGACAACATACATGCACATGCACATGCAGCATCCCACACGAGGAAAACTCAAGTGGAAAAGGCCCTTAACACTGCCCAGGGTCGCTATGGATAGAAGAGACGTGCATTTTGCTTAGAGCCAAAACATCTTTCTGTTCAAGCAATGTGGGCTGTTTCCAAGAAGAGATTATTGTTCTCATTGCTCGGAGATGCTGATAAACAGGAAGGAACAGGTAATTATGAGGACACTGACAGTGCCATCCTATGCATGTTTACTCAGTGGTGCTTATTCCCAGATAGAGGGGGATAACTTCCACAACACAATTTGAGTTACGTCACCACAATGTGATTTCCTCTCTCTTTGATATTCACATGGTCAAGTGGCCTATGACAGTAGCACCTTAAGGCAGGGGTGGCTAATGTGTTCTCCAGATGTTGTGGAATGTTAATTCTCATCAGCTCCGACCAGCATAGCCAATGGTCAGCGATAACGGGAGTTGTAGTCAAGCAATAACTAGAA